CATGTGGGAGGCAAGAGAGTGGGATTTACCCAACTCTTCAGGGCAGCTCAGAGACCAGTTCAAAGTTTGGCTTTGCCGCATGTGATGCCCGACAAAAGTGAGGTGACGAGACGTTCAAGGATCCTCTGATCACAGCACCTCTTCGCTCAGGTCAAAAAGTGACATTTTTGGGCAATTTTCCTCATCTCATTCAAAGAGTCCCTGAGGTGGAGGGCTCAGGGTGTGCATGTGTGAACGCACGTTTTCAGTGTCAAGTGTGACATGTTTGTTTTTAGAACAAAGGAACTGCCGTTGCTCTGTGACTCAGACTAGTACTGGAGTTCTTTCATAAAGTAAGTTCCAGCAGGAGACCACTTGTCAAAAAAACAGTAGAGTGGCTTGAGCACGTCCTCACGACATTAGGGCGCCATCGGCAAAGCACGTGAGAATGTGTGTTCACAAGCAACGGTCCCTCAGACAAATGGCCCTGGGTCTGCTCAGCACTTCACAAATACTGCACCCTCCTAGTGTGGTGAATATATGGGACACAACTTTTTTGTGTTGTATCCATTAGGTCAGGGGCATCCACACATTTTCGGCTTGGGAGCTACTTTTCAAACGACCGGGTAAAGTGATCTACCTACATTTAAAACTCTAAATATATATTTTCTGCTTTGATTAAATGGCTGCAGTTCTATGGCACAATACCGTCTGACTCAATACTTCTATGGTCCTTACTTTAGCCCTAGTGATTAGCATCTTAAAATAGAATTAAATCTTTATAATTTTTTTTGTTTCTTTAAATGTAATTGCTCAGATCTACTGGTAGATCCCCATCCACCTTTTGGGCACCTCTGCATTAGTTATCCTCCAGGAGAGACCTGGTCTTTTTGGCAACTCCACCAAACAAATAACAGACTTTGGTTCCAGTAATATAGCTGTTCGGGGCAGTGGTGGCTTAGTGGTTAAGGAAGCGGACTTGGGTCCGGAAGACTTCAGGTTCTAGTCCACCAGCTGCCAAGTTACCACTGAGGTGCTCTGAGCATGGCACCATCCCCACTCACTGCTCCCCTGGTCCTTAATGCTGCCCACTGTTCATTTTAATGATGGGTTAAAAACAGAGGTCACATTTGGTTGTGTGCAGTGGTGAGCTGTGTCACAATGACAAGGAGTTCACTTTCCTTTCCTGAACAGTCACGTGTCGACTGTGTAAGGAGGAGGTTCGTTTAACATTATAAAATCCAAATCACCTGTTTGACAGATAGACCATCATTTTCCAAACTACAACCAAACTGCAACAGCAGTGACTGTGCTGGGCCCTGCGTGAAGACTGACCAGGGTGTGGTGCGATGTGGGAAGTCGCCTGAGGTGTGTTTCTGAATAAATTTAATAAAACTACAACGCAGTAAAATAAGTTGGTGTTTTTGTACATCTTGCCATTTTCACCAACCTGTGATCTGTCTCTTTACCAGGTCAGAACTGTTTCATCAACATTTTCTTAGCAAGAATAATTCTTTTGTAAAACAACAGAATGTTGTTGCAGAAAAGCAGTACAGTGCAATGAAATGAGGTTAGCTGCTCCAGCAAAGACACCCAGGAGACAAAACTGACAGAAATACAGGAAACTGGGAAAACTCTTAACATTCTTAATTCATATAAACCTAAAACAAATTTGGAAATTTTATTTTTTATTTTTTTAAACTACAGCTATGTGGTGGCAGACTTGAACAGCTCAGAAAGACTGTACTGAATAAATAACATTTTATATATAGAACAAAAAGACCTGAAATGAAAGAAGGTCAAAAATCCAAAGCATTTGCACAAGAATGATTAGAATTTACAGCAGCAGCTCTGACACCAACGCTGCTGCTAAAGATTAATGTGAACCAGCCGTCTGTTAGGATAAACACAGTGGGTTATTCATCGATGACTGCGCTGAACATTTTATTGTCCATATTAAATTTCTAGCTGTAGTATTTATTTCACATTATAATATCATTAAAAGAAGGTTTGGTAGTTGGTGTTTGTTGACTTTAACCAGAGAATTAAATAAATAAATAAATAAATAAAAGTATGTAGTTTATCTGCCAATTTAAACTTAATTGGAAGCACTCATTTGTCCATCAGTTGCTAATAGCCTCCACTGTCTTAATGATAACTTCAACCAGGTCAAGCTGCAAATTTTCTCTATTTTTTTTTTTGTGTGCTAACTTAATCCTCAAATCTGTCTGAAGCTTTCGGACACTGATTCCCTTTGAAGTCGTGGAGACTGCATGTGGAATTTACATTACCTCAGTGGCTCTGACCTCCCCTGGCTCACCCCCACACCTCCTCACACCCACCCAACCTCCCCCACTTCTGTGGCCGAGCGGGACCACCATAAATATTGAACTCAGCAGTGACTGCCTTGCATGTGGATGATCAGTATTTTTAAATGTCACCCTGGCCTCGGTCGCTGGAGCAGTGAGTCATTCTAATGCCACAGGACAGAGATAGGGGGGAACGGCGCAACGAATGGCAACAGGATTCCAACTTCCAGACTCATTCAAGTGATGTCAGGTTACAGAGCTGCATGTTTGAGCCCAGCCTCTGATCCAGTTTCAGTTTTAAGTGCTAAATTAATATAAGCCCCAAAGTATGAAAACCATCGTCTGGCAGATGAAGGTTATGAGCCGTTTTAAGACAACTGTTAAAATAAACCCAAGCAGCCCTAAAAGTCCTCGACCTTGTACGTATGCATCACATTTTTAATGTACTATTATGTTTTCCCACTGTCTCTTATGACAACTATTTCCTTCTTCCTTTTGAAATGGATCCAACTTTAAGTCAAGCGCATTTAAAAACAGAGCTAAAACTAAGTAAAGCAGGAGATTCTGCAATGGAATGGAATAAAAGGAGGCTGAAACAAAAAATCATGGCAGATAAAAGTACATTTAAGAAAACTAGAATGCAGTAAAATAAGCTTTTTTAATTGTACATCTTTGGATTCCTGGAAATGTATCTTCTGTGTCCTTTATGATTTGCCTGTTTTTCACATTACAAGCCATCATCCATCCTCTACTTTTCCCATGCATATTTCTGACTGTGTTCTTCATTTGGTGGGATTATGACTCCTTTCCAACTGCTTTTTCCATCTGTTTGCACACAACAAATTTTCAAATTTCCATTTTGAGCACAATCAACAACTCCTCTAACTCAGACTATTCTGCTAATCCTCACAAGGAACAGGTCAGAGTTGGACTGTAAACTAATAGACAACAAGTCCCTGGGAAGTCAACCACTTCACAGAAGCAGAATAAGCAAAGAAATTAATTCAGTTTCAGGCTCTTTGTCCACAGGCCCAGAGGGTAAAGAGAAGGAAAAAAAAAATCTCAGCACAAATGTTTCAGTGCAACATCATCACTGGTGGTCCACTAAATTGGTCCTAAAATATCCTCTTGCTGTTCTGCGGATACAGTTTAATCGATATTCATATTGTTTAGTGAAACGTTACAGTTTTCCTCCTCATCCGTGGAGAGAGCGTTAATGAAACAGGAGGCTGGATGCTCAAGGAATCAATATCTCCCTGTCACTTTCAATTGCCCAATCTCTCTTAGTTGGGAGTTTTTAATCATCTCTTAGTTTTAGCAGTGATGGGACTAGAAGTCCACTCCCTGATTAGAGCAGTTAAATAATTTCATTTCACAATTTACTTCTCCGTCATTACTGATTTGACATCCATAAAGTTGCAATGCAAATTCTCAGTGGGTTTCAATGAAGATGGTCTTACTTTAATCTAAAGAAACAAATGCATTACCTTTGTTATTTAAGAAAAACAAAGACAGCCTGAGATACTTTCAGAGCAAGGCGCTGTAACTGTGAAGCAACAGTGCCCCCTGCAGGTTAAAGGACATCCACTGATTTCAATCCCGGCTCACATTTAATCAGCCTCGTTTCAGACCCACAGCTACATCCACCCACAAGGGGAATCGTGTAAGTGGATTTAAATAAATGAATGCCTCTGTTTCAGGCCTCAGGAAATTGGTCCATAACAGAAAAATCCTTTTGATGTTGTATTTAAAAAGATAAAGAAAAATGCATTTCCTATCCTGTGCCTGTGAGGCCAACATTTAAGGCTGCATGTATTTGAATGTGTCATGCCTAATTCCACGTTTGGGCTGAGCCCTCTTTCTCCAGGGACTGAAAACAAAGCAGAGGAAGAAGCTTAACTAGTCGACTGGAACCACACCACCCAGGCTCTGGCAGATAATCAGTGCAGGGACTATGATGCAGAAGCCACAAAATAAAAAAAAACTAGACAAATATCTTAAAGCCAGGACAGCAATTACTCAGCAACAGGACAGAAGAACAAACATCCAGATTAGATATAGTATTTGTCCAACAACGACCAATTTTTATAGAATTAAATATAATATAATACACCACATCCCAATGAAATAGAAAAAAAAACTAACGTGATTCAAAATCAATTATTCATCATGTTTTAATATGAATAATTTGGACACTGGATGTTTTTTGAGTTGTAATATCAATTTGACAGCATTAACTGTATATGTAGATTATGATTCCTTATATATATATATATATATATAAAAAAAAGTCTCATATCCACGAATCTTTCACCATAGTAAAAGTCACAGTAAGCGAGCCTGGGTACATGGAATATAAGGCTGCGGTTTATTGCTTGTAACAATTAGAGCCTTCCCTAAATGCACCCACTGTTAAATTGTAGCCAGAGACTACATCTCTCAGGAGAACAAAGAAACCCATTGGGTTTCAGATAACAAGCTCCCTTTACACTGTAGTTACTCCTAAGGGAGATAAACGTACAAGTACTTGAGAAAAAGAACGAAAAACAGTCAGAAAGGCTGAAGACTCTGGAATTTAGACCTGGACAAAAAGAAACTCTCATATTTCAGAGTTTATGTATTTCTGATGCACCAAAACAATGCACTGAAGCCAAAACCATGCACTATACAGTACATGTACACAGATGAAGTATGTGTAAATAGGTACTGCACCTCTGAGTCTTCTTTGTTGAGTCCCAGTTGAAGAACAGCACTGGGCAATTTCAGTGTGGCTTGACTGGACTGCGCCATCTGTAGGTTTAACTGCCAACCAACATAGTCCAGCTGAAAGAGACCATCATTTTACACAGTTGTCATCAGTCATCCAGGTCATGGTCAAGGTTGAAGAGTTCTGTTAGGCAACTGGACGTGAACTGATGGTGGGGAGTAGAGCAAATATGAAATAGAAAATTCACGTCCAGTTGCCTAGCACAACTCTTCATTTTACACAGTTGTTTTAAAGTCACATTGAAAGAGGTGTCCTGTAGGGGGTGCAATTGAAGATCAGCTACACCAATGCCACCAATAATACATGACTCCTAAGCACATTACTGCAAATTATCATCAATATCAGTATTTTAATCAGCTGATTATATAATATACTTTCCCCACAGTTACTCTGTAAATCAGGTGCTGTTATTCAGTTCTTATATTTTACCCACATTTTTCTCCGAAACCCATGAACGTGAAATTGTTTATTGGGATAAAAGTCCACCAAAAACTTTTACTGCTTCACATCCTCAAACTTAACATTTCACCACCTGCCTGGTTGATTTAGTGAGAACTACCTCATCAGTCAGCTGTGGCTGTGTGTGATGTATAACAGCAGAGTCACAGTAGGACAGTTAGTGTTTTATGACGCAGAGAGAGGCTGTAATAATAAACCATGTGTGACTTATTGGGTCTGGGTGCATCCACAGTATGAGAGGACAGGTGTGGGGTTAGGAGGACCGGACTACACTGTTCAGAACTGGAAAAAACATTTACATCAACATTAAGTCGAAATTTTCTTTTAAATTATTGAGCCTCGTAGGCATAAACATACTGTTCTTAAAGTACAAGCATTATTTTAGTCAAGTACAAACCTGATGGCCTTAAAACAGTTGATGGGCATCTTCAACTCAACTACTTTTTGCTAACTTTCTGCTAAACACATTTCTCAAGTTACAATTATTAGTCACTAAACACCACCTACCTAAAAAGAAAACACTACCATAGACAGACATTCAAATACTTCACATCATTGTTACATTCAGCTGTTAAACATTTTCCAATGACCGACAAGTGGAAGAATTGTTGCTGGAAAGTCATTTGCAGACTTTTCACGTATGTGTTTTGTGATGTTTTAATCAAAATCTTCCCATTTTCTGAACTAAAAATAATGCTGATAATTTCACAAGACCTTGATAAACACAATGGTGTAATTCGACCATCACTCAAAGGTCATCAAAATGATCGATGGCCTTTGCTGCCAACGACTGATTCATGATAGTGGACCTAGACTTGTTGATGATAACATGGGAGATGTTAAACACAAGGGCAAAATACCCCTGCAGTATATTAGTGATGAATCTCTGCTGTTTTACTTACGGCCAGTTTCATCATTCTGGGCTTAACTTTGAAGGAGTCGTGTTTGATGTATTACAACTATATTATTTCTCCCAACAGCTGCAAATGACTGGTCTTATTCTGATCAGTAATCTCTTCTTGAACAGTGGCATGTGAGGGGCTTTAACATGTGCAATGGTCTTCTGTAGATATGCTAAGCAAATCTCAATGTTAAACATCAGTGTGTCGTGTACCTTCTTTGGGGAAAAGATGTTGTGCTTCAGCTTCTCCACCAGCTCAGGCCCAGCAGTGGCCCAGATTTGAGAGAAAATCTCAGCTTTGTCCGAGTCTAGATGAACTGCCTCCAGCTGCTGCTGCAGAGACCCCGGTTTTACATTATGATACACGGCCTGCAGGAAAAGGAAACACAGGGCAGGGCAGCTCCTCTTTAATAACTTCACCAATGACTGTGCTAAAGCACAACAATACATCACAGTTCTGACAGCCGCGGCTGCTGAAACGAAAGCCAATGCAACAGTGACACCAGCTGGACAACATCAAGATCGTAACTTAAACATAAAAGCAACCGTGGCTGACAATTTTTTAGCACTTAGGATAGATCAGGATTTATTAACACTTCCAAATAACCACGTTAAACGCAGAAAAGGTTTAAAAAAACATTTATCCATCAGACAGCCAAGTGGTTCAGTTATAACAAAAAAATTCCTACTGTGACCAAAGGTAAGGTAAACACTGACTTACCTGTTCCAGTATAAAAGCACTAGTTTCCAGGACTAGACTGAGAGACTGTTTATCCAAAGAAAACGCAGACTCGAGTTTTTTCTCTTCTTCTTCACTGAAGGTTCGTTCACCCTGTGTAAAAAAACAACAACAATGGTGAATGTAACAGAAAATACCAACATAAATAAAGCAAATATTGTAGATTTAAGTCTACAAGGAACCAGCAAAAACACATTTCGAAATTGGCATTGTGCTATTTAAAGAAATGTTTAGCAGGACATTAATACATTTCAGATGCGACACAAGCAAACAGTAAGGATGCACGCTGTAATACTGGTTAAATACAATACAGTAAAGATACCAGAAACAGACAATAATCACAGACAACAAGTTAGTCTGATTCTGTTGTTTATTTCTAAAGCAGTAAGGAAATTTTAATTATTTGGTTATATCTTTGGTGAGGAAAAAAAACAACACGTTTTTAAACGACATTATAAGACAGTGAAGATGTGTAAAAAAAAAAAAAAAGACAGAATATAATTAAAATTCATTATGCCTGTATTCCTCTCTGGTGCAACAGTTTGACTTAATTACTCTTGAGTATGGATACTTGCCTTTAGATGAAGCTTCTGGCTGATTCGAGAAATCAGCCTTGAGAACTTGTTCACGTCAACTGCGTTCATCAAAGTCACTGCTTCTTTAATGCTGGTTTGAAGAAAAGTCGAGTTAGTGACGACACATAACGTTTTTACGTAACATAATTTATATTTGTGTGTAAAAACATTGCAGTGTCTTTTGTGAAGGAAGAACATCTTTAGCAGACGTGTTAAGGCCTATAACTCCGAGAAGACAAACAATACAAGTGAGTGACAGGAAATTGCTCTTAACCCTTATATTATGTTGAAAAAAATTTACATTGATTATGTTGCTGGTCATTTTGACCTGTACTGTACAAATCCACTCAAAAAAGTCATAAAACAAGTTAAACCACTAACAACCTTATTTTAGATTATATAAACATTTATAAAAGAGACATAATTCATTTTTAATTTAAACACTATATTTAAGAACTATGTTGTTTTATTTGTTGTTAAGTTTTTTCCTTTGCATGTTTTTTTTTTTCATTTAACTTTTTTCTATTATTTTTTCTCACATTTCTCACATTTTCAGTGTTCAACATTTTCAGTGCTCTCCACATGATGGGTAGAATGTAACTGTGCTTTCTGCAGATATAATTCTTGCATTTCACACAAGAGGTACTTGTTTTACTGTCCTCTCTTGGGCATGTACTGTCTGAAAGGACTGCGCCCCCTGAATGGTACAAGGCGCTCATCTACACTAACATGGGGACCAGGATTGTACAACAGTGGTAGAATTTCCACCCATTTATCCCATACATCTCTAAACGCAGTTAGTTTGTCTCTTTCACGTCAACCAGCTCTGGTGTCACGGTTGTCAAATCGGATTACACGAGATATCAGGTGAAATGTCTCCAGAGACATTGTTGCTTGAAAGATTGGCCTTCCGTACTCTTCATCCCATAGACTTCCAGATGCTTCCCCCTTTGACCTGTACACTCCAATGGAAGCACGCAAGTCACTCTGATTCCCTCCAAGTTGGTCATTTCCAGTATAATCTTCTCTATTGGTGGGGATATGAATAGCTGAAATGCTGATTGAATATCATCAACTTGTGTGACAGCAAATCTTGTAGGTCTGGGAGTCATCTTGATAACATTGGAAGATGACAGTCTACCTCAGCTTTGGTGTGGTGATGTTGACCATTTTATATTACCATCTTTAGATGCCCATGTCCCCTCTGTGGATAATGATTGCTGCATTCCTTGGCTTTCATCCAATGGAGACACAATGGCAGGCTCGTCCTCTGAATCTTCCTCATTGTCGGAAAATTGACAATCTGGATTATCAATTACATTGTCCTCTGTCTCTGAAATCTCTTCCTCTACGTCACTATCCAAGATCAAAATATGTGATGAAGCTTCTCCAGCTGTAAACCTTCTGGGGCTCATTTTTGGTGTGTTTGTCAAAGAGATGGCATGAGAAAAGTGACAAGGACAAGGGAGAGAAAGTTCCTCCTCCACACACACCTGGGTCTCTGGCAGTTAAAATACAATTAACTGGGCAGTCAAAATAAAGTACACCAAAGAGGCATGTTTTGGATCTGTACAGCTATTTAGCCAAATAAAAGTGTCCGGGTCAAAATGACCCGCAACATCATCTTTGTATACAACCTCTGCACATACATTCCACTCCACATCAAAGTGTCCAGATTTTACACACCAGTTCATTACCCTAGATGAGGAAAAGTCACAAACTTTCATGAAGAAAAAGAAAGGATAACCAGTACTTTGGTCAACACAAAAACCGAAACGGGTCAAATTGACCCTTAACATAATGTAAGGGTTAAAGATGCATGACAACAATATGTGATAAATACAATGAAAAGCAAACAACAAACCATAGTGGTCACAGCCGAACACCAGGTCCAAGCTCACAACTAAACAACGACTGAGGTCAAGGTGGCAGTAAACGCTGAACACGATTATTAGCTTAGTCATCGCTAAAAATTCTCAGAATAACCAAAAAAATGTTTCAAATTTCAATAGGGTGCCAAAACTGTGGTGCGTTTAAAAAGGCTACCTCAACAAAGCATTAAAAACATAACAAACCAAGACAATTTCATCTACAGCTCTTATTCTGTATACTTTCAGAAATTTCCAAAACTCTCCTAAGTCTCTCCCACACCTCACCTGTACTTAGCCACACATACCTGCAGACTATCAAACACTCACTACGACAGGGCTTGTAGAAGCACAAGCACGACGCAGCCAAACGACTCCACGTGGATTCAATTGAACCAATTGATTAATGGATTTACTGTGAGTTGGGTCACAGTAAATAGACAAAATAAACGAAAAGGGCTGAGTTAAAGACAGTTTGTTAATGCCAGCAGTAACTTACAGTAAACCATCCAGATGTGTCTGCAACAGAGCTAACATAGAAATCTTAGCAATAACAATTTTAGCATAGTTCTTCGTAATATATCTAAGTTACTCACCTTCGTGTTTCTTTAATAAGAGACGTCATTGTCCCTCAGTCTTTTTTTAAATATTAAATCAAAAATATAACGCGTTTAAAAGAGTCTGGAAGTAGCGGAGGCTTCCACTCGCTGTTATTTTGTATTTCCGGTTCCTACGATATCTTTCTCGTTATCGTCAGTGCTGCGCGATAGCGCAAAAAAAAAAGTGCAAGACGGAAGCAGATGAAGAGATTTATTTGTTGTGTAGAAAATTGCTTGAACCGTGCCCTAGTACAAAGAATAGCAAAACAGCAAGTGTAGCTTTAGGTAAAGTCCACGTTTACGTTTAATTAATAAATGAATACTACAGTGCTAATGTATCATTGGGCCTTTATTCTAATTAAAACACAAATGCTTGTTAAACATTTAAGACAAAAGGTTTATTTAGGGTTTTTTTAAATGTCTTCTATAAAGTGGATTCTGGTCGTAGCGAAATTAGATCATGAAAATGGAAGATATTTCAAATTTTTATGAAGTTGTGCTGATGTTATATTGTTTGTTGTCTCCTTTATTTTGAATGAAATATTTCAAATGAATCCAGAATTGACAGCATGTCATTATAGTCGTTTTAAGTATTTTTAATCTGTGAATTATTTATAAATAAGCAGTTGTACCTTCTGTTGATAATCTTAGACATTAGCTGTTAAGACAGCTAATTTTAATTTCATAATGGTACTGTTACTACAAAGACGTATTTAGTGGTTTTCTTTAAAATACCTGGCCCAAATATATATTACTTCCCATATAAATTAGCTTTCTTACAGTTTTAAGGAGATGGAGTTCTAAATGGTTTCTATAAGTGGCAGTTAAAAAATTAAAGATGTTCTGATTGTTGTTCAGTCTCTTTGCAGTGTAAAAAAAAACAAAGACCTTTACTCTCAAGTAGAGTACTAAGGCAAACACATGGATTTATCATGTCTTCCCAAAACCACAAAGATGCAGTATCTAAATAACAATTAAAAAAAAAAACACAAACACAAACATATGTTCTGCGTTTTAAGAATTTATTACATTGAAAAAGAGGAGAAAAAAGGCTCATGCAAAGAATAAAATCAATCAATAATCTGTTAAGACTTGAGAAATCATTTAAAAATATTTTGCATACAAACAATAGAGAAATGTTAATTTCAGCATATATACCTTCCAGACTTCTGTTACAAAGCAATATAATAATATCGTTGAATTATTATATGCACTAATTTTACAAATACGCCATCACATGACTTTACAAATACGCCATCACATGACAGTCTGTAGCGGATCTGCTAAACTTTAAATGTTGTTTTGTTTTTTGTTTTTTAGCTAAGACTTTATTACCAGCCATTTTTGCACCTTTAAGTAAACTTGAGAATAAGTGTAAGTTATCAGTTCCAAACTGACAGGAATCTGGACTTTAGCAGCTGAATGCAATGGGCTGACCTCCAGTGAGGCAAAAGGAATGTACCACTCACAAATAAATACTTAAATGTTCCTTCCAACAGGAAAAAAACAAAACAAAACAAACAAATCACTTATAACACTCTGTTTTTTAAAGGAGAAACACAGTGATAACACTAAAACAGGGAGTGACAAACCACACAGTACCTTCAAGATGTATACTTTTGATCAAAGTTACTTATTTGAGGTGTTGGTAAACAGATTGCGTCATGGTAAACATTGGCTAACGTCGCTGATCCATGGACTTGCTGCCACTATTTGAAGGAAGGTAAATTTGGCACTTTTATGCTGATATCACCAATGTTGATGTTTCTGGGCATTTCCGGAAGGTTCATGTTCTTTACAGCCGATACGGCACGAGCGGGCGCTCCTGCAATGCCAGCCTAACACACACGGACACACAAATACACACAGGAGTGTGGATCAGATATAAGCAGTGGATGTACCCAAAAAAAAGTTGAATATCACCTACCACCTACTGGACATTCTAAACAGACATACACACACACACATATATATATATATATACACAAAGACAGGATGCTGACAGAAGAAACTGGACAAACATAGGTCGACTGTTGACACAATGCAAAAGCACTGACAGCTACCAGACGGACATTATGTGCAGATGTACATTCAGATGCCTTCATAGCTTCAAATGCACATGCATTTCTTGAGTTCTACAATGATTTACATCACAACCACAGCCAATTCTGAATCAACTGTGACGACATACTCTATTATCCATTCACTGTATATTCATGTGATGCACTAATCCGTAATAAACATTCAAAGAATGGACAAAAAGGCAGCAGTGCTCGGAGCGTGAACCCACTGGACTCTTGAGGATTAGGAATGCAAGGAAAGAATTGGTACAGTAGAAAAATAATGGGATGGATATGAAGGCAGAGATGGTGCTTGGATGGATATGTATGTCCAGAATGTGTGCATCAAATTTAGGAAAAGAAAAGAAATTAAAAAAATAAACACATCAACATCAGTTATTTTAGTCATTTTGAATAAATTCATGAGAGATGCACCGATGGATCGACCAGTGATTAGAGTCGGATGATTTTTAGCATCAACGCTTACATTTTTTATGGAAGCAGAAGCTCATACTCATAAGCAAAAGCACAAGCATATGTTGGCTTCCAGCTCCCTGCTCCCATTTTCTTATGTAACAGCCATCATGATGTTGATCAGAACATCTAATCTAATCTGACACTGAAACCACAATCATCCAACTGAAAACAGCCAATATAAGAGGCTAACAACGGAACAAGGTATTTGTTTTTCAGATTTAGCATTACTAAAACTGTTTTAAGTTGTGTTGCTCTACGCTAGCAGCCTGCTGCAGCTAACCTTTAATGTCATTGCTGAGTTTAACTGCTAAGTGTACCTTATAGAGTTTATGGGAAACATTTTATAGTTACTTGTTGAGAATTGAGAATTGTATTTTGCATAAAGGAAGACTTTACTTTTTGTACATGCTGTTAACTACAGGAAATCGTATGTCACGCTTACCAAAAAAAGAAAAAAAAAAACTAAATCGGCCAAAAATTGTCAACCGGTGCATCTCTACAACTCGTACACTGACTGTAGTGAATAGACTTTACAGATCCTCGTTATTCTGTCTGTATATGTACTGTATGTATGTATTAATGAAGAGAGGGGAAAGAAGATTCTACCAATCATTTTTTGGCATACTGATGACATGAGAAGGTAAACTGCAGGACTAAACTACAATGGGATTTCTATGCTCGGGGTGGGAGGGGTGAGGAGGTTCTTCACTCTAACACAATGAATCTCAAAGTCCGGTCAGAGACTGGAAACGACGGCGGTGTGTCTTCATGAAGGTTTCAGAGCAACCGTAAGATAAAAAAATCTGTCAGTAGTGAATTATTTAGTAGCTTTTAAATCCAGAGTAAGCAGTCATTTGAGAATCACTGCAGTTAGAGATCCTCCGAGTGAATCTTCAGCAGACAGACCCAAAAATGACCATGTTAATAGACGTGCTACTCTGCTGGCTTCTCCTGAGGAGAACATCCAAATGAATAACTTAATATTGTTAACATTGCAGGGACATTGACAAAAAGCACACTGAAAGCCTGCATTTATGGACAGATTTATTTCAATGGACCACTTGTGTGATTAACATTCCTCCTCCTGCCAAGGACGAAGGAGACCAGCGTTAATGGAAGGATGACCGAGGCATTAGGAGTAAAGAATGCTGATCCTGCACACGGACTCCTGCAGCCCTGTCACAAGGACTTGGGCCGGGGATATTTTTGTGTAAGAGTGGGCTGCCAGCAGACTAACTGTGCAATTCCATTATAGAGGGTTTATAATGAAATGCAGGGTGACTCATGTGTACAGAAATAGAAACAGCAGCTGAGCAACACAAAAGACCAGTTTGGTTCATCAGCCTACGTAAATCACAGTCGTTAAAAACCTGTGAGGAGTCTGTGTGCAGTCTGTGCAGTCAGACAATGGAGGGGAGCTGCTCTAAATGATGATGGCTCACAGACAGGCCCTAATGTTATATTTAATTGGTTCTGTTTTCCTAGGGTATCGTTACATATCATGTCATGTCAATTCCAGGTCTTATTGCTGAGACATTTCAGTTGGAAATAGTACTAAAATAGTCAGTAGTTTTAAGCATTAAGTAACGTATACTCTATTACAATAGACTTTTTTTTGGCTACTGCAGTTAAATATGATTCCTTGACATTTAGAAATTTAGAAGGAAATAGTTAGTGACCTATAGTAACCCAACAAGACAAGGTCACATTTTGAAAAACAAATTTAAACAATTTTTTCTATATATTTTGGTGACTTTAAATGTGTCTTTTAATGTACTTTTGTTTAAAAATAAAATGTTTCTTTTTTCTCCTAAATTCCTAAAATCCTTCATAAAGTTTTTCAATCTTCCAGTTGTTCTTCTCTCTGCAGTGCATAGCTATCCAGAAATTATATGAAATATATTTTTCACATGAAGTACTTCCAACTTCAATTTTTCTTAAATAAACGTGTTTACATTTCAAACCTGAGGCCTGTCTCTCCTGTAGGACTGGTATAACATAGACGCAATAATAATAATAATAATAATAATAATAATAAAATGTACACTTTAATATTACCCACGTTTCTCAGATGGAACGATGAACATTTTTGGGTCTGCCCTCAAAGATGTCTAAAAAATGTTAGTGACGAAGGTTTAATACTACATGGACGGCCGTATGAGGGGAGTAAACTTAGGTTCACAGAGCTTGGTTGTGAATTTGGCAGTACCTGTGTCTACCTGTCCTGCCTGGTAGACTGAAAGATAAACGTCTGTAAAGAGAGAGAGAAAGAGAGAGGGAGAAGAATGGAAAGAACTAGACAGAGTCAGGAAAAAGAGGAATGAGGAATGTTACAGCAGATTAAAGTAATTACAGTTTATCTCCACAGAGGAAAAGGTGGTGGACCTGTCATAGACCACATCTGCACAATTTGAAGTCATTTTTAATAGTTACTTTTATTGTACAGCAATGAAAAAATCCAAGGACCACTTTCTGTTGGAGGAAGGATATGCCCTTATTTTTTTTACCATATCATTGGATTTGGTTAACAGAGTCAAAGAGCAGCTCATTTATCATATAAAAGACACTGATGTGAAGTAAATGTTAAAATGTCAGTGTAGAAAACACAGTGTGGTCTATGGCAGGTCAAAGAGGGTAAAGCTTTGATGACAAAAAAAAGACTTACAGACATTCAATCAAAAGGTAAGAATCTGTCCGGTTAAAAGCACACAATGCAGCTCAGATTGTTAAACAAGGTGAAAATTTTCAATTCATAATGTAACATCAGATGACAATGTAACCTTTACCAATGCAGTGTGAACAAAAAAAAAAACAAAAAAAAAACACGTCCTGTCAGTGCCCATTTTTTTCTACAATGTTTTGACATCATTTCCTCTCATTGTGAGTAACTACAAAACAAACCCAAACTATGAGTGCAGTTTTGTATTAGGGAACACAGATGCTTAAATCATTATGCAGCGTTAAAATGTTTTTAATTAAATTGTCTCTGGCTGTCTGTCTGATTAAGACTTTCTAACGATCAAATGAATGTTTCTCTGCTGGCAGAAGCTGGATAGAAAACAGAGCGGTGTCCTTGCCCAGAACAAATGTCTGAGCGAGCACACCGGGTAAGTAAAAACAACTCGGAGAAGAAGTTAATTCAACACGGACCGCTAATAAAATTCACATTCTCCTCTAGCAGAACAACCATGTCCAAATGATTAACTCTCATTAGAGGGTGTTCAATTTAAAACATATGAGAGATTCAATGGTCACAGATTTTGGCTATGCGTTGGATAATGATGTGATTAGATCTATACTGCAATGAGAAAATGATGACTGTGATTCTGTCTTCATACTCAGGATACGGCGGGGGAATGTGCCAAACTTTGATCTGCATCAAGAGCTGTGCAGCAGCAGTAGGAGAGGCCAAAGGAGGAGCACAAACACTCAAGAGTAGGTCAGGGAGCATCCACAAGGTCATTGGAGGGCGGGGGCATGCAGGGTGCAGCGTACACACATGCCTGCATACTGTATACGATACCTCAGAGAGCGTGGAGGTAGAATCAACTTGTACAGTTACGGACGCGGTCAGACTTACCTCAGACTTCTCCATCTTGTTCTGAGCGTCCACCTGTGTGATGATTTCATTCATGTTAGTCTCCAGGACCATTCCACCCATCACCATCTCTGCCAGGATGTTGTGCACCTGGGGAGGAATATATTGTGGATTAAGAAAATACAGTAACTTGAAGGAGACTTGTTTAGAACTATGTGGATTTCTAGCACCAATTTAAAAAGGTCAGGTTTCCAAAAGAACCAAACAGTTAAGAGCATACTATGCAGTCATTTTTATATATTTTTTTTTAAAATAATAAATCTCTCCTTAACTACTTACTGCTTATGTCACTTTTAATAACCGGAGGAAGTAACTAGTTTTTCCCTCTACCTGTTGGTGTTATGTTCTCACCCAGTGGTTCTCCAACTGTTTCTACTCTGTACCACGAGAGAAAACCTTGATCTCTCTGAGTACCACCATGATGACCAACATTAGAATATAGCAGCATAGACCTTCACTGTTAGCTTCCACCACAGAAGAGAGATGTTTAGAAATGTTTAGAAAGATGTTTATGTTTAAATGTTGTATTAATTGTACTTGGTATGTTTCAGATTTATTCAACTGAAAATGGAAATGTAAAAATATAAATTTTCCCCACATACCACTGGTGGTACCACAGTTCTAACTCACTGACTCTGACATGAGTTAATTTATGCTGTAAAAACTATGGCTGACAGAAAGTTTAAAATTGAAATATGATTAATCACAATTAATTGTGATTGTAATACATAATGATTAATCATAAATAATTGAAATGAATGAACATTGCTAAAACTGACCAAAATAAAAATGTCCATATAGTGCTGGAACAGAAAGACAGACAACAGCAGGTAGATGTATGGGTTTCACACCTGTTTTTATCTGTGACTAATCCAAATGATGGAATTATTAAAATGGAAAAAAGTAAAAACAAAAATACTCCAAAGTGTAATTTACATTTACATTTTTTGACAGCCTCACCATAACTAGAATCTAATATTTCATGTTAAAATACGACAGGAACACAGAGTTCATAGAGACGCATTCACTTCCTACCTTGTCTACGTGGAAAATTAGGTCAAGCTCACAGACATTTTCAAAGCACTTGTCGAGCGTCTCCACAAATACCTGCAAAGAAAGGATTGAAATGTGTGAAACTATGAACATGTGAGTCGGACGTAGAATAAAATGTCATGGATTTTACACACAGCTACCTGGATTAAGTCCAAAATTCCTAATTCACTCTCTGAAGAGTCCACGCAAAACACAAAGTAGAGTGTGGCATAATGTCTGTAGATTAGTTTGTAGTCTGATCCTCCAATTAACCTGGCAGAGAGGGAACAGGATCATGTGTCAAAAAATAATTTGGATCAGTTACACTTAAAAAAGGGCAGAAAGACAACTAACACGTATGTCATTCTATTTATATACTTGTAATTACAGGCAGGAGTAAAAAAAGAAAATTGTAAACATTTGTATTTTTATTTAGTTTCAGGAGTAGTTTCCAAAAGCACAGAGATAATGTTGACCTTTGCCCTCAATCATAGTTCACAGTAGCTGAAAAAAAATGCAGAATACGAAAACGTATCAGTCAAAAGTCAGCATGTGTTAGAACAGGCCACATGATAGTTGATACAGATACAGTAAAGCAGGAACACAGGCACAGTCACATGATAACAAAGTACTGCACGTCCACATTTGATGACTTACATTCCACCCTCCAGGAAATTACAGACGTTCTCATCTCTTTTCGAGACCAAGTGAAATGTTTCTCTGATGATCTGCTGCTCCGTGTCCTCAGTCTGTGGGAAGAACCAGGAAACAGATTAGGAGATGTTACACAATGTATTGTTTGTGGATCTAATTGTCTCTGGTGAGCATGATTTCATAATTGCTGGGTCAAACGTTAGATTGAGTTGGTGTTACATTTGTCATACACACAGTACTTCCACTTTGTAAAACTAAACTCATTTGACAAGGATTTAACTGTCATTAAACGTACATATTTTGTGCAATGCCTTTATTTTTTGAACATATTCAGATTTTGTTTTTTCATGGTGACAAAAAAGCTCAACGTTAAGTTTTCAAACTCAACGCCCGGGGGCCAAATGCAGCCCGCCAAGCCGTGTTGTGTGGCCCACGGGAGCTTAAAAAGCATGCAGTATATGCAGCAGAGTTTCTTAACCTGAGAAATTAAAAGTTTATATAATCAATCAAATAATAACCAATTGCAGAAACATGTATTAGTCTGTTATAGAGTAGTTACATCTATACCAGTGGTCCCTGACATTTTTTGTTCTAAGGATTGGTCAGCCACCACCTGTTACTACAGACCGGTACCACGGTACTGAGCATTGAAGGATCATTCAATTTTCAAAATAAAATATCTTTTAGACTCTTTTAGAGTTCTGTTTGTATCAGAGTTTGAATGACCTATTATTTTAAAATATTGTCAGATTATCTTTAAATAAAAAAAGTAAATGGATATGACTGGATTTTCTTTAAATTATGTAAATTAGTAAAAATTAAGAAAATTTTCCCACTGTGGCCCAGTACCAAATTACTTGTGTACTGGTACCGGGAAGAAATAAAAATAATAAAAAATGCAGTCAGTATGGATATGAAAGGTATATGGCTGTCAAGTTAACCTCAAAAACAAATATATCATGTCCATATATCCAGCACTCACACTAAGACCCTGTCACCACAAGGTGCTAATGACCTCACACAGTACACAACAGATCCCTGAGCACAAAGAGGAAAGAGACAGTCAAGTATGCAGCTGGCTCTGAGGCGGAAGCAGTCATGTGACCTGCACCATGGGACCAGCAGAGTTATGGTACACAGAGTTCAGCATACACTCACACAAGAACGCACGTATGTTACAACAAAAAAAACACAACAATATTTATGGCTTTTAAAGGAAATATTCTCAGGGGGAAATAAAAAACACAAATTCAGCCTCATTCAATTTCTCTTAAATGTGTGGGTTTTTTAAATTTATTTTGATACTGGAAGAGGACAAGAAACAGGATTAAGGTTTATGACAAGTAACTGTCCCAGATTTAAATGTCGGCTGATCTCTGTGGGCTCCACATACACTGTGTCCCAAAAATCTGAGACATTCCTTTAAACCAGTGTAGGTCTGACCAGGGTCACTTGTTACATATCACATCACTCTTCGATTACACACAGACTACAGTCGGTCAAGTGAAGCCTCTAAAACAACTTGCTGTAGAAGACATACATGTGTCTTCTACAACTTAAGACACGCCAGTCAAATCCTGTGCACCTTATCATTATGTGTGGCCCAATATGTGGCTCCCAACCCCCAGACTGGTACAGATCCATGGATCATTTAAATAAATAAATAAGTACTATACTGATCCCATACTTAGGGAAATTGTTGTGTTAGCAGCAGATATGCTGTTAACAGGCTTCCCCCAGCAAGTACCAAGCATGTGGTTCCTCTGGGAATCAAACCCAGGACTCTCCCCTTCTGAGGCAGGTGTGCTAACCACTACACTATGGAAGTTGTGGGCAGACATATGGAGATTAGAACAGAGACTTAATGATGATCATCCACATGGCATCAGGGAATAGGATCAGTTCTATATAACATTGAAACATATCAGGAAACACAGATCCTGCTGTTAAGACAAAATTGTTTGACCCCCTCGTCCGTCCGTCCGCCCCCCCCACTTTCCGTCAACACTGCAGCTGTATGAATTTATGTGGTACAAGTTTGTGGGTGCATCAATATTTATCTACCGTTTGCTGTGTCAACACAACAGACTGTGCAACAAACACTTACCAAAATGTGGCTGAGAGTAGACGGTAAATAAAGATGTCACATCTCTGCAGCCAGGATGCTGACACACTGATGCTGACAGCGTTTTGATATAACAGATGGTATCTGCATAGGCTGTTTATAATCCTGCCAAATCCAATCCATCCTCCTAAAATATAAATACACCTGTGTTCATCTCATCTACAGATTAGAACACAGCGCTATACCGTAGGGAGAACTGCCTGAAACTAAAGCCTGTTTGCATTACTGATTAATCAGCTGATGTCCTCCTTAGGTACAGGAAATGAAATGTCTGAAAACGGTGGAGGGAAATGTCAACAGGCTACAAAAAGCACAGTTCCTCCTCCACCATCCTGTCTGTTTTTTGATTTTCATGCAAAACCTTTAAATTCACATTTTTATGTTTTTTATTAAATCTTTTTAGGCCTTCTATGCCTAAGTCCACAAAAAGGTGTTGTGTATGAACAAATTCCTTAAATTCCTGCAAAACTGATTGGAATCTGTGCAATTTTCCCACTGTGGTACATAGAAAGAAAATACTATAATGAAGTCCATTTGACTTGCTGTGCCTTCCTTGCAATGGCACCACGGGGGGCCATTTTGGGAACCACTGGCCTAACCTGTCACACACACTTTAATGTGGATTTAGGCATCATGTTAAGATGAGATCCGAGCTTCCTTTCCCAGCCTGTCGACAATACATCGATGACATCACTCAGTGACCTTTTGCTTCCTATTGGTGGGTTGAGTTTTGCATCATCATCTACAAATTAATGTACCAGAACTATTTTGGAAAATGTAACTATAATAAGAAATCAGTTGCAAAGACACCTTTATAACATGTAGACCAGGGGTGTCAAACTCATTTTCACCGGGGGCCACATCATCAATACAGTTCCCCTCGAATGGCCGGTTGTAAATGGAAGACTGTATGGATCAGGGGTCCCCAACCCCTGGTCTGCGGATTAGTACCAGTCCATAGGTCATTTGGTAGCGGCCCGCAGTGGGACACAGTTTAAAAAAATTATTTAATTTTTACAAATTTATATCCATTTACTTTCTTTATTTAAAGATAATCTGGTATCTTATCCTTCAGTGCTCAGCACCTTGGTACCAGTCTGTAGTAACAGATGGTACTGGCTGACCAGTCCTTGGAACAAAAAAAGGTCAGGGACCACTGGTATAGATGTGACTACTCCATAACAGACTAATACATGTTTCTGCAATTGATTATTATTTGATTGATTATAAAACCTTACCCCATTTTTATGTATAGTCTGTGGGTAGTGTTTTTAATTTCTGCTGAATGATGTTGTTTTTATTAACTTAGATTTATATCTATTTCTTCCCAGGCGTTTAACTCTTTCAGAGATACAAACAGGAAAGAGAGCCAGATAAAATAAATTAAGTTAGTGGAGCAAGGTCACACAGCTTGCTCTACACAGGATATTACCTAACCCGACATTTCCTATCTGCAGCCTCCTTCTTTGTGTGTTTAATGTGGTTTATTTATTGTGTTCTTCCAGCAACAGCAGCAGCAGGTGATGGCAAAAGTCAATAAAATTGGATTTTAATCAGTTGTGGCGCAGGGTTGAAGTGAGCCACGAGTTTATCACAAGGGCGTTACTGAAGTCATGTGACCCAAACACGAGCGAACTCCCTTCACCCGTAGCAGGCACCACAGCAGCTGGACACGGCACAGCTGGACACCTGAGCTCACACACGGGGAACACGATCGCCGAGTTCGATTCACACGTTTAATATTTAATGTGTTAAAAGGACACCGTCGTCTACTGTGACATCTTCTACAGCCTGCAGGATGAGTGTGAAACTGCAGCCTATTCGTATGTGAAGTGGAGTGAACACACTTTACACCGGAGATTACTACTCTCTACAACTGGAAACGTAGTCTCTAGATATGATTTACTTTTTCCCTAACACAACGAGTCAGTTCAATTAAACATTCTGATTAAATGAGTGAATTTAAACAATACCTATAGTGTATGGTGTGTCGGTTAATTTCCCAGTGAATCAGGTTACTTACATAGTGCTCGTAGAATTTGGAAAGCCTTGGTTTGCCATGGTTGTTGAATATTAGAATGGCTTTTATCATGACTGTAGCTGGAGGCAGGAGGCGGGGAACCAGCAAGGCCTCAGTTGGACGTAGACTGGAGTCTGTTTCCTCTCCTGAACCCACGACTGACCGGGACTCACCGGAACAAAACCCCGTCTATGATTTGAGATGGATGCGGGAGAACGTGGAGTTGAGTGCAGCAGTTACTGTTACTCCTTCATCGTCTCTTCACGGAAATTTTCCACGTCAAAGAACCAATCCTGTTCTCCTCCTCCTCTTGCTACGGCAGCTGCGATGGCCCAAATCTCATCCATCCATCCGCCCGAGGCTGCGCATCACATGCTAGAAAACGCATATCTATTTTAGATGACTAATTTAAAGTACCGGCCATATTTTATTGTTTATTTCAGTTCTTTCGTTTGTATGAACAAATCATCGCTCAGCCCAGTGGCGCTATAAGTGCGAAAAGTTATTGCAGTGAGGACGCATCAAAGCAAATTGATTTTATTATTTACTTAATCAATGAAATCCGGCACGATATGTAATTCCAGTGTCCTTTGTTCAACGAGAATAGAACACATTTGTTTGAAGTGCAGTGTTTTAAATTATTTTCAGTTGAGATCTGAAGCAATGACTTTGAATATGATGCTGATACTATAAAAACAAAGGGATGTTTGGGAAGTCAATTGTTGTCAGCCTTGCTTTAGAACAAGGTAGACTGTTAGACTACTAACACCCATTTACATTATATTCTGAGATTTAAACCACAAAATAAAATTAGGATTATCTGAAATACATTTAGTACCCTCAGTCAACTTAAAGTTTTTCAATTACATATTTCTGCCACAAGATGGAGTACAAGTACACCCACTACTGATGATGTGGCAGCTCAGGGAAACTTGGCTTTGGTTCTGATGCAAAGAACATTCTCTCCTTCTAATGCTGCCAAAAACACACGAAACAGCAGCCAAAAAAGATTTCCCCTTTGACCAAAGAACACATTTCGAAATTTTCTGGAACACAACTGTAATTTGGTGATTTATCTGAGGCAACCAGCAACACGATTTTTCTGGACCTTTAGAACTGTTTTCTTCAGTTTCCTTTGATAGTCTGCGAAAGATCCTGAGCAGCATGTAAGAGCAAACACTTTACACATTTTATTTGAACCATATGTGCCCTATAACACCCCTGCTGCACACATTGAGTTTTCCCTCAGCATCAGTCTGATAAGTATGCAGTTAGAATAGAGAACTGGACCCAAAAGCAAAATCACTGAGAACAACAGTAAGGTGCACAGAGTTTATTCCAAACTATTAGGAGTTTGCAGTGAACAGTGACAAAAGTTTCAACAAACAAAGAGTGTCCACGTGGCAGGGAGAAAATCCCAACAAGTCCCAAGGCGCCAAATCTTCCCCCTCCATGGCAACGTGCTCCAAAAATCCTGGACAAACATCCACAGAACAAATATGGATTATCAATAGAGAACCAATTCATGGGGAAATCGACTGAACGTGATAATTCCACCTGGGTTGTAATGGCAACGCTCTGGCGCTGGTTCCATGGTAAAGCTGTGCTTAAATACTTCTTGTTGCTGACGAGTCAATCAAACGGTAGGTGTGAGATGCCCATCCAAGAAAACTCAGCACCTAAAAAGGGAAACAATTCAGGCTGATGCCCACCCATGCACACACCCACATATCCAACAGAGAATATAGCCACCCTCTCTACTCTTACATGCCTCACAGTGCCCCCAGCAGACCCCCTCAGCAGGTGCCTCCTGGCACCCTAGGCTTGTCAGGAGCAGCCCTGTTAAAGTCACCGATGAAAGTGGGATCCAAAATGTTTGCCCTCAAAATTTATGATTGTTCCTCAGATTCATAACCCTCCCAATCCACTAAAAATTGCCACCCTCTCCCCTTATGGCATACATCCAGCAGGCGCCGGACTGTATAGGCAGGATGGTCATCCATTAACAGGGCACAACGGACTGGAGGACAATGGCTTCAGCAATGATACATGGAAGATGGGATGTATTTGAAGAGAAGCTGGAAGCTTCAGCTGGATCACTGATGGACTAATGACTCTCTCCACCTCATATGGGCCAATGAATATAGGAACTAGCTTCCTGCTCTCAACCTGTAATTGAATGTTTCTGGTTGACAACCATACCTTCTGGTCTGTCTCATACGAAGGGGCAGGAGACCGACGCTTGTCTGCAGCCGTCTTCGTCCTGACTTGAGACCGCCGGAGTACCTCCATTCTCCAGACTCGATGGATTCACCTAAAATTCCCCTACACCAAGGGAACTGCTACTTCAACCTCCTGTTCGGGGAATATAGGAGGTTGATAGCCCTTGGCAACCATGAATTGTGACATAGCTGTGGCAGGGGTAGACAGGGAATTGTGGGCATATTCCACCCAGGGGAGGAAAGCTGTCCAAGAAGCAGGGTTACAGGTCGTTAAACAATGAATAGCAGTCCCGAGATCCTGCTAAGCCCTCTCTGCCTGTCTGTTGGATTGGGGATGATAACCAGAGGATAATGAGGCTGAAGCCCCCAACGACTTACAGAATGCCTTCCATACTTGTAGTGAGAATTGTGGGCCTTGGTCTGACACGATTCCTGGGGAATCCCATGGAGACGAATGACGTGTTGTACTAGGTCTGCTGTCTCTGTAGCAGAAGGAAGCTTGGTAAGGGGAATAAAATGCACCGATTTAGAAAATCGGTCTACAATGGTTAGAATGGTGGAATTACCTGATGACAGTGGTAATCCAGTAACAAAGTCCAATGCAATGTGCGACCAGGGACGGCTGGGAACCTTCAATGGTTGCAACAGGCCAGCTGGAACCTGGTGTGAGGATTTGCTTCGTGCACAGACTGTGCATACCGTGATGAAGCTCTGGACATCCCGAGACATGGCTGGCCACCAAAAACGTTGTTGAAGAAGGCCAAAGGTTCGATGCACCCTTGGATGACATGAAAACTTCGAAGAATGCCCCCACTGCAGAACCTCTAACCTAACCACCTCTGGGACATACAAGCGCTTGGGTGGACCATTACCAGGACCAGGCTCATTCTTTTGGGCCTCTTGAACTCTATGTTCGATATCTTAGGTAATTGTCGCTACCACACAGCTGAAAGCAAAAATGTTGAAATTCCTCTGGATTGCCGCCTTCTCCCCCTTCTTGAGTCTAGAGAGTACATCCGGCTTGGTGTTACGGGATCCAGGGCGGTAGGTGAGAATAAATCAGAATCTCTCCAAGAACAGGGCCCACCTGGGGTTTATTCTTTTGGCTGAACTTTTAGGCCAGATTCTTATGATCCGCCTAAATGATAAACAGGTGTTCTGCCCCCTCCAGCCAGTGCCTTCACTCCTCCAATGCCAGGATGAACTAACAGTTCCTACTTTCCAACATCATAGTTTCTTTGGGCAGGGGTTAGCCTCCTGGAGAAAAAAAAAGAAAAAAGTACAGGGGTGCATTTTCTGGTCCCCCTCACCCTGTACTGTTACTGTTTGTGGGTCTTTCGAACCGGCCACCGCACCTTGGAAGGATCAGGCTTCACTTGCCCCATCTCTACAATAAATCCTAAAAATGAAACAGAGCCAACATGAAATTCACACTTCTCAGCCTTGCCAAAAAATGTATTTTCAAGTAGACGCTGCAGCACCATTCTAACGTGCTGCACATGAAAAAACAAAACAAAATGAAATGTCTAAATAGAGGACCACAAAACGATTACGCATGTCCCTAAGTATGTCATTGACCAAGGCTTGGAAAGTAGCCAGGGCATTGGTCAACCAAAACAGCATTACAAGGTATTCAAAAAGGCCCAACTGTGTCTTAACCCTTGTGCAGTCCTTCGCAGTTTTGTACACACGTTTGTCCTTGCAATAAGTTTCATCTTTTCCCAGAATATGAGTATTAATGAATATGAGAAGTTGGCACAACTCATGCAGTACAGGAACATGCACACGCACGCATACTCGCGCACGCATACGCGCGCACACAGACACAAAGACATATTGGGTCTAGGTCACCTAGACCCGAAGGACTTAACAAGGGTTAAAAGCGGCCTTCCAATCGTCTCCCTCCCGAATTCTTACAAGATAAGCGTTCCGCAAATCTAGTTTGGAAAAAAATACCCGCAGAATCAATGAGCGGTAACTGTTTTTTTTTCCACAGTGATCTCATTAGGCCCTCTATAATCGATACACGGCCTCAACGTCTTGTCCTTTTTAGCAACAAATACCTTCACCTCTTGGGGCTAGGTTCTAGCCCCAAGAGGTGAAGACGACGGTCGAATGAGCCCCGCGGCCAACGACTCCCGAATATACTGCTCCATCGCCTCTTTCTCCGTGCGAGACAGATTATACAATCGGCTCGACCGTAACGACGCACCAGGGAGGAGATCTATAGCACAATCGTAAAGCCGATGCGGAGAAAGCTCTCTCCTTAGAAAATACCTGGAAAAGTTCGTGGTATTTACGAGGTACGCTGGTTAAATCGGGAGGAAGACAAATAGCCTCGGACACCTGCGAAAGAGACAACAGAAAGAGTGACAGTACCACACCCGTAACCCAGTCGATATGAGGATTCTGTGTCTGGAGCCACGGTCTCCCCAGAACAATGGGGGCGTGAGGTAAGGATATAACCATGAACTGAGTTACTTCTTTGTGATTACCTGAGAGATGAAGGGTTATTGACCTGGTTCGATGTGTGAGCGTGGCCAACTGGCGGCCATCCAAGGCATAAACGGCACTTTTTGAATACCTTGTAATGCCATTCTGGTTGACCAATGCCCCGTGGTGGTGGTCCTAAGGTGTTAGGCTGGTGGTGAAAAACGAGGGAGCCAGAAATCTGCCACATGTACCAAGATCCCAAGTATACCAAGTATATTTTCGGTACCGGTGTGTGTGACTCTCGGGAAGCAGGATAGAACCAGTACCTGGGTGCAGGGTTGGCGTTGGAGCCCCCACTCCTTGCGCAACCGTAACTGGTTTAAAGAGTCAATCACCTCCCTGATCATCATGCGGTTCCTAGGATAGCTCCTTGGTGGTGCAGGGCCTGAGACACATGCTCAGTGTTCGCTGGGTCCATTGTGGCCGGAGCGTTCGTGTGCACGTCTGAGCAGTTAGAATAGAGAACTGGACCCAAAAGCAAAATCACTGAGAGCAACAGTTAGGTGCACGGAGCTTATTCCGAACTATTCGGAGTTTACAGTGAATAGTGACGAAAATCCCAACAAGTCCCGAGGCGCCAAATCTTCACCCTCCATGGCAACGTGCTCCAAAATCCTGGACAAACATCCACAGAACAAATCTGGATTATCAATAGAGAACCAATTCATGGAGAAATCGTCTGAACGTGATAATTCCACCTAGGTTGTAATGGCAACGCTCTGGCGCTGGTTCCATGGTAAAGCCGTGCTTAAATACTTCTTGTCGCTGACGAGTCAATCAAACTGCAGGTGTGAGACGCCTATCCAAGAAAACTCAGCACCTAAAAAGGGAAACAATTCAGGCTGATGCCCACCCATGCACACACCCACATATCCAACAGAGGATATAGCCACCCTCTCTACTCTTACATGCCTCACACAGTCCTCTTCTCCAGACGTTTGGGTGGAGTACTAACTGTGATTGAATTTTTCTTTTGAGTTTGAGTTCCACTCACAGACGTTCCCTTTTTGACCTGGTTGACAACACCACACCAGTACTATGATCGATTATGTAATTCATTTCAATAATAACATCTGATAAAAATGGATGATTAAAATGTATTCTAACAGTGTCTATATACATTAACAGGCTATTTTGTAGTTTTCCGTGTCATAATAGCACAATAAAAACTTATTTACATAGTTATATAGCTGTGTTTTTACCGCACACGTGACAATGACGTCGACTTGAAGTTATGTCACAAATTCATTTGTGCCGTCCAAATACGTGAAAAAAACATTTTCTTCTCTGCTGTCTGCTTCGACAAACAATAAAAGGGAGAAAGGGGGGAGAAAGAAGAGAGTAGAGCGAGACGAGGCAGGAAGGGGGAGGAGAGACGGCAGGAGCAGATGTAAAACTGTTAGACAAGCTGTTAAAAAATCAGACAGTACAGGCACAGAACTTTATTATTTCATTTTATTTCATACACATATCATAAAATATGTAGCATACATATGAGATTCTGTATTATATATAAAATAAATTGTCATAAATATAAATCTATCTAATGTTCATAGTGTTCGGTACTGCAATACTGTACAAATAACGGTGACCTCACTCCAATGTTTGTATACTTCACTTACCTCAGTGTACTGCAATTGTTTTAGCTCTATTGTGCTGCAGTATTCTTAGCAGACTTCTGTATAAACCAACTTTTCACTGACCATACCAAATACTGTGTTGCATGCAGAGTTTAATCCACGCTACTGCAGTACAAGTGCTGCAGAACTTTTCCAAGTTGCATCATCACTATCCAAGTTAACCATTATCTGCGCTATCTAAATTGAGAGCTGAGATTTTTTAATGTCTTTCCTCTTGTGTTACAACCTGCTTATCACTTTCCAATGTAGTGTTCTATATTCAGAGCTGTCTTCTAGTGTATTGCTACTACATGGTACTACAAATCCAATCGTTCTTGTATCATTGGGAAACATGTTGACGTGTGTCTGTGAATTTAGACTCAACCCGATCATTTAGTCCTGTTTGGCTCCACCAGATCTGTCATCTCATATTCCAATAACATGCCTCTCACATTACACCAGTGGTTCCAAAACCTTTTTTTCTGTAGCGACTCCCTTGGTTAGACATGACAATTGTCAGGCCCTCACCACATCGACACGTTCACAGCTACTGCTGCAAACCTCCACTGAACCTTTTTTTGTTGTTGTTTGTTTGTTTTAATCCTCTCCACTCACTGAACAAGGGATATAAAATGAAAAATCTGTGAACTGTTCCCACTATACAATACCAGCTGTCAATAGACAAGGGCGGGGTACATCGGGGATAGCTAGCAAGAAAGGCTACATATAGATACAAACTATTGATGTTTACAGCATATTCACATCTATGAGTTTCGGTCAATGACTGATACAACCAAACTTAGAATAAGGGTCCACTGTGCTAAGGGGTTATGAAATTCTGATTTTTCCATCCATCCATCCGCTTATCCGTTACCGGGTCGCAGGGGCAGCAGTCGCCACCCAAATCACATTGCACCGTACCAACCCGACCTAAACCTTCCTGCAGGTGGTGAGTCCACTGGAAGGTACCAACCGCCCTAACTGGGATTCGAACTTGCCCAGGAGGTGAACCCTGGGATTCCACACCAATGACAGAGACATTGCCTCTGGGCCAAAGCGCCACTTTGGATTTTTTTTTGTATCTATTTTTTTCTTCAACATCAACATTTTTTCATACATTATATCATCTCTATTTATTTTACAAAAGTAAATTCACATTTTTATTAATTCAACAAATTTTAACAGTTGTCTGTTCTATTCTTCGTTTAAATATCTCAGTACTATATGAATTTGATATAGGTATTATTAGGTATTTTTGAGTCGTTAAATAAGAAGATCAATTTGAATAAAATAGATGATGAAGTAGAAATTGGTTGGAAAGAACCATAAATAAAGTTTCATGGAACCCAACTTACTGCACTGTACCTAAATGTTTTAAATATGAACTAGACTCTGTTTGTAAGTCTGTGTATTATTTTACTAACTTAATATTGAAGGATAACAAACAAAGTGTTTTTAATCATCAAAGCCTGATAATTCAGTACATTATTTAAGCCTGGCAATAAAATAAATAACTTTTAAATTTGAAACCATCTGAGGTCTACAGCTTAGATTTTATGTTTTATGTCATAATACAATAAATAAACTAAAACATCTAGAAAAAAAGGCCTGTGCTAATATAGAATTATATATTTAATATAAGCTAAAATGTCAGTGGGCTACAAAATAATATCTGTCTGTTTTCTTAGCCTTTTTTCTGGTTAATTTTTAGTTATTTTTCTGGAACAAACATAACTTGATCTTCAACCGTTTCTTTTCTTCTTGTTCTTCTTTTTTTTTTCTTTTTGGCATTATTAGAGGGTTTAAAGAATATGGTCAACACCCGAACACCTTGCCCTGTAATTATTATTATCTTCTTTGTTGTGGTTATTTTCGTTTTGACACCACTTGACGTTGTTATATCCTGAACAGTCTAACAATAGATGGTAATTAAGCTTAGACGAGATCTCGATGTTTCCCTCAATTTATTTTGATTGCACATCAACTATATTCCCACCTTCCCGTGTGTGTTCGTCTGTGTGTGTTTCTGGTTCAGCACACGCACCCTTCGCTGTGTTTTTCTCACAGGACTTTTATGGAGAAAATAAAAAGAAGAAAACATCCCATAATGAGGGGCTGACGCGCTATTGTTGGACGAATTTCTCAGTGAGAGAGAAAGAAAGAGAGGCAAAGTGGGGGAGTGCTTTTGTGACGTGGTGGAACTGCACCGGGACCGGACTAGTCCAACTGTTGGGTGTGTAACATAGACGCACTCATCGGATTTGCACATGCTAAATCAACACCGTGATAAAAAAAAAATCTATGCGACCAGAGAGCGGTAAAATGGACAGTTACGTGTCCGCAAATCATGTTTCGCTTTGTACTGATGTCAAACAGAACTTTAGAAAGAATACGTTCTACCGACGGTCACCCTGTTTTATAATGGTACAGTCCATCAGTGGCTCGTCCCTAAATTGCTGCGCTGCCCTATAAAAAGTAAAAACCCGAGCAGGGTTTGACAAGAGAGTGAGTTGTTGATTCAAAAAAAGGAAAAGTTAAAAAAAAAAAATTAGTAAATAAAAACAGCCCAGGTGAAGAAAAGAAAAATGGAGCAAACCGAGGTGATGAAGCCTGAAACCCTGGATGATCTGATCCAAGTCCTGCACCAGATCTTCGAGAGTGACTGCATTAATGTTGAGGAGGTCCAAAATATCATGGAATCCTATGAGAGCAATCCTCAGGATTGGATGAAATACTCCAAGTTCGACAAGTACAGGTTGGTGCCACTGATCTGAATCGTTTTAACAGTAAACCAATCACTCATCATTCTTTATTCTGTAGGTGCACTTTACATTTTCGCATTTATATTTCTTTAGCTTTAGTTTGAATGAAATATTTGTCTAATCTGCTCATTCCATCTTATTGCTCTTGCTTGAAGAGTTTATTGTATAAAGTAAAAACCTTTATATTTTTGTTGCTTTTTGTTTTGTTTCTTATAGGCCCTTAATTGTGTGAGGTAAAACAAAAAATATATAAAATATAAAAATTAAACATATATGTTTGATATATTTTAATTATATTATATATATATTATACAAATATTATACATTTATGTATAAATATGTGTATATATATTATATATTTTTTAAATGTATTGAAAAAGGGAGCTAAATATAAATAACTACAGATTCAAGTGTAATAATCAACACACTGACATATCGCTGACAGGGACAAGAAAATCCTTCAAAATAGTTGACCGTTTTGCTGTGCTTTGTTAGATATAAAAAAGAACAGATTTTGTTATCACAATGATTTCTATTTAAATAATTTAAATACAATTATTAAATAAACATTTGGGTATACACTGTAGAGTTAATGCAGAACAAAAGCACCAGTAATAAAACTAGACTTGCTCTTTTCCAAAGTTTTCAAACCAAGGCTACATGCCAGTGTTTTGGTGAGTGAGTGTAGGGAGGGTGACGAGGCTCCACCAATCAACGCAGGGGGACAGACACACACCCGCTAGATTATGCATAGATGGATGCTTGTTGTGTGTGCTGTGCTGCCTGGGAGCTGCAGCTGCCTTGCAAATATTTGGGAACTGACGTAATAAATGGCTTAAACAAAGAAACTATCAGCGTTTGAATTGTTTGAAGACCAAGTGGATGAGCATGAATAAAAATGATAATGTGTCAAAGTAATCCTTTTTAATAAATGTTTTCTAGTTGTGCATGGATGCTTTGTGAAGTACAAAAAGTAAAATAGGTCACATTTGTCTGTTTTGGTTGCCTCCTTTAATCTTATCCAGTGTATCAGTACTAGTTACATGTGAACTACACTGTACTGTACATCACCCTGTTCTTTTTTTTCTTTGCAGATACACAAGGAACTTGGTAGATGCTGGAAATGGCAAGTTTAATCTCATGATTCTCTGCTGGGGTGAGGGCCACGGCAGGTGAGACATTCCCAGTCACTAAAATGACCAGCGTGAATTAGAATTCTGCAGCACTGATATGACAAAAATTGAAACCGATAAATCTGAGTCCAATTCATCAACTGTAGAAATTGTCTTGCTTGTATTCATGGAATAATACTTTATTTCTTTGGTCAAAGTTCAGTTTATAACCTTTCACTTTTATAGACTCTCTACCAACAGTGATTCGGCCTGCGGTGATTATTTGAAAGGGTTGTAAAGATACCAGAATATGATGTTACCATAAAGGATTGTGAAAATGTTTATCGTCCAGTAATGACTGTTATGCCCTACTTTGTGCACAGTATGGTTGTTTTATTACTACAGTTACTGCGACGGCATAATGCCTTTCCTGATGAGAAAGATATAATGAGCTTGTTAGTTAGCAAGGTGTTGTTTGGCAAATGTTCTAAGCCTTACTAATCTGCCAAAGCAAAAATGGCTAATTTATGTGCATATTTGTTTACCTTTGTTGATAAATCAGAAGCAAATTTACCCCCCCAAAAAAAGCGAGATGAGTGACTTTTTAACTTCAGCCTTTGAGTGTCGCTTTAACCTTTGATCATCAAAATTCCTGAGTCTGGACTCACTTTGACGCTGCTTCCACTGTGTTTCCACTCTGCAGCAGTATCCATGACCACACAAACTCCCACTGTTTCATGAAGCTGCTGCAGGGTCAGCTGAAGGAGACGCTGTTCGAGTGGCCAGATGGCAAATGTCGTGGTGATATGGTCCAGAGGTCACAGCGTGTGCTGCAGGAAAACAAGGTTGCGTACATAAATGGTGAGCGCACAACAGTTTATATATATAAATATATATATATATTGGAGGAATACAGTGTTGCAATATCTCTGTTTTTGTCCAAGGACTTTGATATGATATGACAGGGTTAGACTCACAGTGTGTTATTGGGGCGAGATATTGAGTCCAGTACAACAGAACAGACATCTACTACGTGTTTGTTGGGCTGATAGGATTTATCTTGGGACTTAGTGAATGCATGTGTTTTTAAAATGCTCTCAGAGGAGTTGTAATACTGTAGGTATTTCCCCTGAACCCAACAGAGCCATGGTGTGATATTTGAGCTGCGCATAGTGTGGAACTGCACCTGTGATCTATTCACAGCATTCCAGTCTGAATGTATATTTGTTCTTATGTGTGTGCCCTGTGTGTTGGTGTAGATTCCCTGGGCCTGCATCGTGTGGAGAACGTCAGCCACACTGAGTGCGCTGTCAGTTTGCACCTGTACAGCCCGCCCTTCCAGTCCTGCCAGACCTTTGACCAGCGGACAGGGCATAGAAACACGGTTAAGATGACATTCTGGAGCAAATTTGGAGAGAGGACTCCTTTTGTAAGTGGCTACTTTAAAATGTATTATTTGTCCTGCCAAATATACTTTAGAATCATTTTTAACTCGGAGGATCCTCTTAGATAAAGTGATCAATTGGTGTGATGTTGAATTCTCAAAAGCATAATGCTAAATTTACATAAATGAAGACAATCTACTGTGTTTTTTTTAAGATGATCTATAGATGTTCTAAAATACATTTGATTAACTAACTACACTGATGTACAAAAATACACACTACCTGCAAGACAAAAAAGCAACAGCAAGGCAGTATCACGAAAAAGGACTCATAAAACGCCCCACGTCCCACCCCATGAAATTTCCTGTCTAATGAGCAGGAAGTGGGGTTTATTATAGTGTTTTGCACTCACATTAAGCACAGCTAATTTAGAATTACAGTAAAAGGTCCTGCAATGAAGGTGGGTTTAGAAAAAGGTTTCCATTGGCTCCTGTTCAAACAGCAAGACCAAGGAATGTCACTAATGTCAGGGTATGCAATTTAAAACAGTAACAGGAATTCTGAAACAAAAAGACAGTGTTTAAAATGCACATGCCAGGCTAGTGTGAAGTATTTAAGAATTTGAAAATCTTGTTTCACTTCTGTAATGTGTTATGTTTAAATGTATATTTTCTGTGTCTGTTCAGATTTATAGCAACACCAAAAGATGCTATCTGCTAACCAATGCTAGTTCTGCTATTTATATAATAATTATATATAATATAATATTAAATTTGTTAAAGTTGTTCGATCAGATATTTTATCTCATTATAAACCAGCCTAGTAACATGTAGTAAAGCAAAAGCTAATGCTACTGAAGCTAACTAGGCGTGAAGGTAATTCCTCCTATGTCAATTTAAAGCTTTAATAATGCAGTAAACTATGTTTCGAAATCAAGTAGGAATAATATATAAATTATGGGCAAGTTGAGTATATTTGTTAAAAAAGAAACACCACACATTAGTGTGAATGTAACACACTGTATCAATAGCTAATGCTACTGAAACTAACACAATCTGCTGGCACTTTCTCCTGTGTGTCAATTTAAAGCCTTATTGAAGCAATAAAATAAAACCTACAACCATTATTCCTAGATACCAAGTAGAAATAATGGTTAAATTGGGAACAAGTTGATTATATTTGTTAAAAAACAACAACACTAGTGTGGATGTAGTCATGATGATAAACTGAAGGTACAATTAAATACTTTAAATATATTAAATAGCGATTACTATATCATCATTAGCTTTAATGAAGATGGAGGAAAAAAAATAAAATAAAATGAATAGCTATTTTAATTTGTCCTCCAATGGATCTCTGCCAGCATTAGGGCCTAATCAAAAGTCTGTAAGTTGGATAAGCACCTTGACCACACTGTCAGTTTACTGTGTTAGATTGCAACACAAACACTGGTGATAAGATAATTGAAGACAAATGTTTACAAGAGTGTGTACATATTGACCTTAACTCAACAGACATCCTTTAGCTCCGAGTAGTTGTGACAAATCAGGGTAAAACATATATTATTTAAGGATTATCTTAACTTATTAACCAGACTGCAGTTAATGTTCATTGTTTACATTTCTCAGGAGAACTCAGTCTCTCAAGAGAACAACTGAAGCTGGCATCGAACGTTGACAACAACCACGTTCACATGTCAATATGAAAACGACTTAAGAAGTAAAATGTGGATCTATAACAACTGAGCAAAGCATCTCACAAACAGGATGAGGCCGGTTCAGAAGAAGACACAATAATAAGAATGACATTATCACTGCCTCAGAGTAAGCTTGGTAAACACCCATGAGCACAGGATGACTGCATGAACAGGTTTGGAAATGGATTAAATGTCGTTTGTTTGCTAGACCTAAGGAGAGCTTTTTTCCAATAGCAACATTCCTGGTTTTCCATGACCTGTGTGCCCACATTTCTGTCAAGTTATGGCCCACAATTGGAAATAGAGCTCAAGCATTGCAAATATGGGGAAGATATTGTTGTGTACAAGAAAAGCAATATTATTTTCATTGGGGCATTTGCATGACTGTTTAAAGTCAATAGAAACTAGTCTTAACACCTTTAAAAAAAAGTAATGAAAAGTAAGAATGTGTTGTACAGTCTTTGCCTTAAGATGAAGAATTGTAAAGCTTTAGATTCCTGTTTTTTGTGTGATGTAATTTATTTACAGAGCACTCTGCAAATGTGAAAGGAGTGTTTAAATCAACAAGTTGCCAAGTTTCTTTCTAAAGTATTCATGTTCGCCTTTCGACCAATGGACATTGGGGGTGTGTTGTAATATTGGCAGTAAATAAATCTTTATTTGTACAAAATCTTCCCTGGAATCTTGGTGTGAATCATTGATGTTTTCTCAATTTTGGTAGTTCATCAGACATGCATCATTTCTGAAATACAAAAATGGTAAATCTGGCCCCCACAGTAGACCATTAAACATGATTACCCTTTTAAAAAACACTTTGACCTATCTTTTTTGTATGTCTTTCAATACAAGGGTAAATCAGAAAAGGTGTAATGCAGATGTTAATTTAAGAAAAAGAAAAAATGTGTTATAAACATGTTAAGACATTTGTCATGTCTTTGTTAAGCTGTGTTACATTTTCTTACTTTATTACCTTTTTTAATCATATCAAACACTTTAAATATATAGAATTATGTTTAAATTATATAAGTTTGCAACAGGTTTAGATGTGGCTCTAGTTGTTTTGTTACTTTGTCTTACAAACTTTTTAATTTCCTTTGTTTCATAAAACATGACAAGTTCCGGACAGATGACTTAATTTATAATTTAATTTATAATTGCAATATTTATACAGAAAATCATGTGAGCACGAAAAAAAATCTATCTCAAAAAACATTCAAATACAACAGCAACTTTGTAGCAGTGAAACAAGATGTTTAAAAAAGGTTGGAGGGTGTCTGAAAGGTCAACTAAAAAAAGATTCATATGTTCAAGTTCAAATGTCAAACGTGTGATCGAAGATCATTTCTGGCAGGACGTTATTTATGATTCCCTTGCCTTTTACTTGCATCAGTGGTACCCAAAGTCGGGTCCTGGCCCAGAACAGAGCACAAACTTAATGCAAATGAGGTCTGGCAAATTATTTTTTTTATTTATCCCACTGTGGGATAATTGCTTTGATTTCCCCAGTGGGCTTTATTTCAATAAAACAATAGCATTTATACTGTTCATCAAAGTGTAAAAACTGCAAAAAAAGGTGTGGTGATTTCATAGAAATCCTCAGTGGAAAAATCCCCAATAGAAAAGGTAATGAGGCAAAGCTTTAAAATTCATCACACAATCACATGTCAACTGAGCCAAAATAGAAATAATTAATTATTAATTTAACAACACAAAGAGTCAGGATACACACCAGAACAAGACGCCATTGTATAAGAGGGCCTGAACAAAGAGAGAGCAGAGAGGTTAGTTTAGCCAAACATGGCTGTTGTCCAGTGTCAGGGTTTATTCACACTGTTTCAGATCAGGTGGTGTTATGATCAACACATTGTGTTTTGGGTAGGGTGATCTAACCAGGACCTTTTGGTTTTAGTTTTTTATTTTCTGTTTGAGTAATGTCATTTTGTCCAGCTGGCAGTGTATCCTGACCTGAGTTTCTCTAGGCAACGTTCTTTTAGGTCGATGTTGTTTGTTTGTGTTTTTATAGTTGTTTTTGTGTGGTGTACCGTCTGAGAATGTGTCCACGTCCAGAGAGCTGACACCAGGCCACTGGGAATCATTGGTTTTGCAGAGATCGCCTGGGTAGAAAGTAGAAAGCCTTGGTGTCAAAGGAACACAGATGTAGCTTCTTTTCTAACTTAGCTCTGTGTGGTTGATGCAGCTGTGCTAACAGGTAAGAGTGCCAGTTCTGGTCAGACGCCCACAACAGTCCTCTTCTTGGTACATTAGTAGCTTCAACCTTTGAGCGACAAAAACAAGTTCTTTTATTACACCTGTCTCACAAAGATCAAAACAGAAATTGTATTTCAAAAGAACCAGGACAGGGATAACCTGGGGCAGATTAGCCTGCGGGAGGTTAGCGATAGCGGCAGAAAACAAAGAGGCAACTGCAGACTGTGTCAACAACCATCTTATTAAGTAGTTCATGATTCAGTCTGGGGCAGAATGCTTGATATTAGGGCAGTCCAAACACACTGGATTAGGTTAGCAGAACTCTATGTGTTAATGTGATGGTTCCGTGGCCCTGTGATGAACAGGTAAACTGTCCACGGCATCCCCAAACCCTCACCCTCAACCATCACCTGTTGCCAACTAGAATTGAGTCCGGCTACTTTGCAACCCTGAAAAAGAATAAGGAAAAGAAAGTGAACTCCTTGTCACTGTGACACAGCTCACCACTTCACACAACCAAATGTGACCTCTGCTTTTAACTCATCACCAAAGTGAACAGTGGGCAGCTTTAAGGGGAGCAGTGAGTGGGGACGGTGTCATGCTCAGAGGAACCTCAGTGGTAACTTGGCAGCTGGTGGACTCAAACCTGAAGCCTTCCTTTGTTCTATCTTAGTCCTGTTGCATGTTACATTTGGATCCCCAGACCTATATGACAGAATCAGTGTATTATTTGAAAGTTTAACTTTTAGGTGTGTTGTAAGTTTAACAGTCACGTGTGTTGGAAGTCCTTGGTCTGACAACATTAAAGCTCTCTGATTGGGCCAGTTTGTCTTGTTGTTTCCTCAAATGGGATGTGTTGTTTCCTGATACCTACCATGCTTTATCATTATGTAATAGTAGTTGGCCATTAACCTCTGATGTTCCCTTGATAGTCAAATAAAAGCACTATGCTAACATGAACTGCGTTGGTGCTGTAAATGACTGACAGAACCACCTTGGTCTGGAGTCAGGCTGGCAGATGACAAACACAGCGTTCCCGTGTGTGCTTAACTTTACCTTGAACAATAAAAAGATGCTGTTTAAGGTGCACTGATAACTTTGTTTACCAGAAGGTGCTGAACTAGTGTCACATTAAAACAAACAATGTCCAAGTCCAAAAAAACACAAAAGTAGCTGCTGTGAGTCTTTGGACAACAAACAAACCATCACTGATGCTTGGTGCTGCTGCTGGGAACTTCATTGCTCAGGATTTTTTCTTTCTTTGTGTCAGAGTGCTAAAAAATTCTCAGCAACAACAAAAGCTTGCTCTCACAGCTCTTTAACCGTGTCAAGGTTTATGCTTAGGACATTAGTTCCTGGATCAAACACGACTGTTGCACAACAGTTGACACATGTGACCAATAAACTTTTTTTTTAGGGACTCAAGTAACCCTAAAGATTAGTGGCGTTATTACTTTCTAAGAATACAATCTCTTTAGAGCAAAACATTAATCACCTTTTACATAAAAAATAAATAAAATACATTTTAAATTACATCAAACTCAAAGGTTTAAAAAAAAAGATGCAACAGAAGTTGGCACCACAGTGTCCATTACTGTGCAGGCGTTAATAACACTTTGATATTTTTATAGTTATTTAAAAGGAAAATAGTTTTATATTGTATTTTTTACACACCATAGGACGATTGCAACTCCTTGATATTACTGTCCTTGACATTTGGAAGCATTGAATTGCCTTAAAAGGAATGAATGAATAAATTAAATTAATTTTCTTTTTTCACAAGTTTAAAACTGAGACCTGAGGCATAAAGAACATAAAAGTACTACACATAAAATATACACATACAGTTTACACAATATTGTAATATAAAAACGATATCAGTGGTTCTCAAACTTTTTCTACTCTGTACCACCTGAGAAAACCTTGATCTCTCTGAGCTCCACCATGATGACCAACATTAGAATATTGCAGCATAGACCTTCACTGTTAGCTTCCACCACAGAGGAGAGATGTTTAGAAATGTTCATAAAGATGTTTATGTTTAAATGTATTAATTGTAGATGGTATGTTTCAGATTTATTCAATTGAAAATGTAAATGTGAAAATATGAACTACAGTTTGAGAACCACTGATATATATATAAAATATACATCTCTGTTAGAAACAGTTAAAACCATCATATGTTTATATGTCCATACACACAATGTATACAGTATATATTTTTTTCTTTTCTTTCTGATTGCTAATCATTTGTCATCAGAGCTAGCGTTGGTTAGTGTTAGCACCAAAAGGTTCAATAGTCACCAAATCAAAGCTCTGTTGTAAAAAAAAAAAAATTTAAATCAGGTAATCAGGTATAGAAACTAATTCTTCCAATAATGTTGTCATTAATTGTTAAAGTGGGCAAGGATTACACAAAAGATGAGACACGGAATGTCGAAAGAAAAATCTTTGTCCGACCATAGACAGCCTAATGTGCATTATTATTATTCTGTGCATTATTTAGTCAATTGACTTTTGTGCTTCTTTTTGGTAAGACTTCATTTCACACGGTTGATGAAATGGTGTGAGTGTGGATGCTGACCTTGGGTGGTGTCTGTTCTGGCTTTGGAATGTTGTTGCAACAATGGTCTGTTTGTTGCAGCAAGAAATGTTGGAAGTGCATCAGTTTCCATGCTGTGCTTGGACTGTGTCATTTGGATTCTTTTGTCTTCCATTTTGCCCACATCTGTGTGTTCGCACTTAGTAAAGTAACAGTTGTTACACCATATCTGTACAGCGGCTCCATGAAGGAGTTCGGAGCCTGGGGTTGTGTGCCTGAGAGTGATAACAACAAGAATCATCGGTGACTAATAGTTGATGAGATTGTCACAGGCACAGTCAGCTGGCTGACGGTAAATCCCTCAAACCCATCACTATCGGGTCGCACCCCAATGAAAAATTTGGACAAACAACTGGCTGATAACTGAAACCTTGAAAGAATTTTTTAATGCAGACCTTTGTACTATTGCTGTACATGATATGCCACATCACAACATCCTGTCCCGGTCGTGTTGATTCTGTCTCCAAATTCTCAGAAAGGTTTGGTTGCAAGAAATAATGCTGAGCTGATAACTATTGGTGAGCAGTCACTAAATCACACCAAACTATGGGAACATTCCTGTGGTTAATGTATTTAGGAAACAGTGATCAATAACCTTGCTTTATTTTAGCTAATTTTATCTTTGAACAAATTAGATTTGTTCAACAGACCAGTCTGGGTTGGTTTTTACTGACTTTGACTGTTAATGATACAACCTGTGCAAAGTAGGACAAACAAAGGTAAACAAAAAAAAAACCCCAAAACCAAAAAAAAAAAAAAACTATCAATCAGTACAGATAGCATCTTGAGCTGCGTTTAGTGAAATATTTAGCTCTTGATCTGTCATGAGACAGATAAAAACTCAATTGGAATACTACAAATACATACATACTACATATGAATAAATTAACTGCTAATTAACAGCTCAGTGATTCACCTAATCAGATTCTTCTCCATATCTCTGTCAGGCCAAGTACCTCCATTGGTGTCTATACCATAATTTTAAAACACTGATACTGTAGATGTATTTTTTTCATTTTTAATAACACAGTAGTTTGAATTTTCTATTTGGCAAAAGTTACAGTTTGGATTTGCCCTTCATAGAAGAAAAGGTTCTGTTTTCACCATTCTCTCCATGAAGAAATAAGGTAGTGAATCAAACCATGCTGAGATTAACAAGTTCAGAAGTATAACCAAAAGGAGTAGAGATTAACTAATAATACAAATGGAAAATTAGGCAACATTCATTGTGAAGGCGTTGTCACTGACACATCCTAAAACCAATTCTGGAAAATCTAATTTTAGATTGCACAAAACTTCCTATGACACATCCTCGTGATCTGAACAACCAGACATAATACCCATTGAATAGGTAGGTGAATAAAGCCTACAGGACACAGATGCAAATGGTTCAAATTTATGTACTGTATGTGAACCAACAAAAACTAAAAAGCTACATTAAATTCATCGTGTACACAATATACTACATTCCAGAACCACATTTAATAGTCAATTTGCAAAATATGTATTTACTAAAAATGTAATCTTGCTTTAAAATTGTATCAATCTGCTGAAATGTTTACTGTGTATATTGGATGTGCAGAATTACGATTAACACAAAGCAAAAACACAGTGATATCAGTATGGAAAAAAAAAAACTTAAGCTTAAAAGTTTACTTTGTTCTACAGTCAACTAAATGTGTACAATGGCACTTCAGTGATTACACCCCCCCGCCCCCCCCCATTGTACGTGTTTTCAAGTTCTGCATGCCTGCTAAGACAGAGACAAGAAAAAACATACAAAAATTATAAGAAGTTACTTAAAACAAATCTGCAAAAACTGCAAAACACCCATTAACGCAGTACAATTTTAGGAGTAGCACCACATTTCTGTTGTTATTCCAGAGTGTTTGTACCTTCTCTATCTGACCATTCTGACTGACGTCATGTGCCTAGCCTTTCTATTCTGCTGTTTACTGACTCTACAGATCCCACAGACTCTGCCCTGTCACTCATGATGTCACTGACACCAGATCTCATTGACAACCCACTATGAGACCCGCTGCTGTAAGAGGAGGGGCTTCTGTGATAGGGACCACTCTGGTGATTACTGTTGTCGACCCTGGGCTGAATCTGAAAAGTTTCACCAAAGGACTTTTGGCCACATGTGCTGCGCTGAGATCCAGAGAGCTGCTGCATGTAAGGCCTTGAATATTGTTCTGGTTCTTTCTCTCCACCTACACCAGGCTCTGCTGCAGGACCCACTGTTTTAGCCACGGGCAGATCCTGCAGCATGTCTCCAAGGAAAGAACGCCTGGGTGTGGGGGTTTTGGCTGAGACTCCAGGGCCAGCAGAGGGAGAACTGCTTTCCTAAAGAGAGATATTGGAAGAAAATGATTCTGGTGCTTTTCTGGTTTCCTGTTATGGACCAAATTTACACCACTTCACATTTTAGGCCAAAATATCTCTGCCAACTATTTTGTTTTTCTCATTTTTTAAATTTTTTTTTCTTGAATGTTCCTTTGCCTACACTGGTGGTTGCTGATGGAATCAGCCAAGACCAAAACAATATTTATTCTTATAATAGAATCCACAGGCAGGATAGAGCTGCAACACATTTGCTATTACAGAACATATGAACTGGTCAGTAACCTTAATAATTTTTTTAATTAGGGCAAACTTTACTTAAGATTAATATGATAATAGTAAATTGATGTTAAATTATTTAAAATATAGCAAATAATATATAAAAATATATAGCATAGATATGCTTATAACTGTATGTATGCATGTAAATATATATGTATACATACACATATATAAACACACAAAGTATATATTTATATGTAAATAAATTAAAATAAGATATAATTATGTAAAATATGATGAAACAAATACAAATCAAACTACTACTTAGAGTTTATCACTGCATGTCCATACCAGAGGAAGGACGTCCCTTTTTTCCATAACATCTCCATGGCGTCCTACAGTAGAGGACAGCTGAGGTTTCCCCAAAGGTTGAAAATCTGACCTCTCAATTCCAGCCATTGATGCTAGCTGACCTAGGCTACACGTAATGGAATAAATGAGTTGAGTTAAAACAGTAAGAGAATGACTTGCTGGCAAAATAACACACAATATTGATTAAATAATATACACATAATACAGTGTTCTCTGGTGCCTCTACTGGCCGAGTTGAAAACAAAGAAGAAGGTCCAAACCCACCCTGCATCTTTAAGGAGATCCAGGAAAGCATGGAACTTGGTGAATGAGGTTTCTATGCTCTCCAGCACAGCTTCGTCTTCCAGAGCATGGACAGCAGGAGGCGCTGATCCAGAACCAGTGGCTGCAAGGGCCTCGGACAGAGACTGGTTTGTGTCACGCAAACGAGCATTTTCCAACTCGTACTGAAAACAAGAAAGTTACATCAAGGATGGTGAAATAAAAATAAGCAAAAAAAAAAGATTAGGCAAATTATAATCTACTAAACAGGGAGCGTCCTGCTTGACCGCAGCCTTCAATTTTTTCATTCCTCTATTAAAGGGGTGTAAAACTCATTTTCACCGGGGGCCACATCATCAATACAGTTCCCTTTGAAGAGCCGGTTGTAAATGGAAGACTGTATAGATCGGGGGTCCTCAATTTCTGGTCCACGGACCAGTACCAGTCCGGCGGTCATTTGGTACCGGGCCGCAGTGGGACACAGTGAAAAAATGTGCTTAATTTTTACTAATTTACTTCATTCAAAGAAAATCCAGTCATATACATTTACTTTCTTTATTCAAAGCTAATCTGACAAAATAATAGGTCATTCAGACTCTGATACAAACAGAGTCTAAAAGAAGTTTGGAACAAAACAGGTCAGTGACCACTGGTATAGATGTAACTACTCCATAACAGACTGATACATGTTTCTACAATTGATTATTATTTGATTGATTGTAAAAACTCTCGCGGGGCACACAAAATGGCTTGGCGGGCCGCATTTGGCCCCCGGGCCTTGAGTTTGATACATATGCTCTATTAGTTATGTTTCATCTTTAACTCTAATCCAGTTGTATTTTATCTCTAACATACCAAAGTTAAACTTTACTTCTGTGTGTTAGAGATAATATCAAGACAACACAGTCCTTGAGTCTGTTGTTATGTCTGCAAACCATAAATATTCAGTCACATGACAAACAGAAGAAGAGAAGCAAAATCACCATGAGGATATAAACAATGACAAACAATCAAATCACCATCAACTAAGTCAGCAGTCAATTATGCACAGGCCAAGTGTAGACCTCAACCTAAGTATCACACAAAAAATGTTCTCAGCAACTCCTAATTAAAAACCTTTAAACACAAAATAATCACAAATGGAGAAATATTCCAGTGGTCAATAGAGCTGTGAAACACATCATTACAAATATTTAAAAATCCATTTCATTTACAAATCTGCTCTGACTTGTTCACACAGCACATTTTTTAATATTTCTTTTTTTAACTTTAAAAAAATAATTACACTACTCAAATTACTTTAACCAGTTTGCCCAAACCTCTCCTGCAGTGCCCCCTCATGCACTTAGGTCTATTATTGTAATAGTATGTACAGTAATTCGCTGCACCAACTCTAGCAATTGCTTCATGCGGCAAATGTATACATATATATTTTATGTGTTGAAATATGTAATATGTATGTTGTGTACTTTTTTATTTACCTTCTAATAATGTGTAACAAGGGGGAAAGGACTTTGGCCTAAATGGTTTTGTGTTTCACCTTATTACAATGAAACATACCAAAGTGGTAACATACACTAGAACAATCCATTATAAAAGACGACAACTCCTCTGTTATTTCCTCACCTCTAAGAGCCGGGACTCAGTCCTCAGTCTGGACCTGCGCTCCTCTGCCAGACTCAGACGACATGCTTTCAGCTCCATCTACAGGACGAACGGAAGAACACAGAATGTTTGATTCAGACGGATGCCTTCAAAAGCACCAACCGCTCCGCAAATACAGGGGGAGTTCAGGATCTACGGTGACTAACCTGCAAACGGTCCAAATGTCTTCTGGTCAATTTCTCCTGAAGATTTAAAGAACTCAGTCTCTGCTCCACTTCCTCAGTCACTTCTTCCTCTTCCTCTTCCTCTGAATCTACAGTAACTTTGACAGTAGCTGCATGCTAATAAATAAATAAAAAGTTTCTTGTGATTTTACACATTCACTGTGCAGCGTTTTTACCTTTAGATGTGGAATTTGCAAAAAGAAAAGAAAACCTACCTGAAAACTTTGGCTTGTCACAGTTACTGGAGGAGGCAGACCCCTGGAAATACTTATTATTATTATTAATATTATTATGCTAAATACTGTAATTTAATATTTAATGTCTCATTTGACACGGTTCTACTTTGAATGCAATGTAATGTTGCATTTCTCTTGTTTTTTAATTACACATTCCTAATTGTTCTGGTTTTATTTAATATTGTAAATCTCACTATTTTTTTGACCAACACCTCACCTCAGGCGCTCAGCTCGTGCAGCAGCACGCCATGGAATGTTGTGGGAATTTGAACAGGGCTTTTGAGACCGAACGCCACCGGAGCCCCTTCCTCCAAATATTACTTTACCCGCAGCTGCAAAGGACAAAGACATTTTAATTAAAGATGTCGATATTGTATGTTTGGGAAGCATGTTATACAAGACACCACCAAGAAGCAAATGACTGCAACTTCATTGATATTTTTCCATATCAATGTTTCCATTAGTTTCATTTTGCCTGGCATAAAATCAGGTGTGACACACAGAAATCTACCAGCTGTTCTTTTTTCTTTTGGTTCCAGTAGTATACAAAAAATATTAAAAGAACTGGGTGTAAAAACTGTAGTAAGACAAAATATAAAATATTATTAAAAAATATTATAAATAAAATATTGCTGACATGCCCAAGTATTGTCATACTTAAATGTTATAATTCAAAATTTCAATTGGAGATAAAGAGTTGGAGATAAATGCAGTTACATTTTACTGACATACCTGTCGGCACAGAAGCCTTTCCTTTGAAAGTTCTGGGTACCGATGTCTTCCTCACACCTGTGTTTCTCTGTGGCTCAGTGGCTGCAGGTTTGATCCACGAGTATTGCTGTACAATATTAATATTCCACACATGCAAAAGAAGGACATGACGGAACCACTTTCAGTTTTAGTAATGACATTACCTGCAGACACTAACCTCGAGTGAGCGTTCATCTGCTTCACTGTTCATCAGTACTTTCTCTATTATGATTTGAATTAAGCCTTTGTCTATAGAGGAGTGAAAGACATTAAACAGAGTTAGGTTCAAAACCATAGGTAAATAATTACAGTGTAACACAAACAGGTTATTGATTCAAGTGGAGCTGACACTTATTATAACACATATCACTAACATCACTAATCACAGGGTCAGTGTTGTCGTTAGTGTTTAAACCTTTAAAATAAGGTCATGAATGACAGACACAGAGGATGTTATTTACCTACTAAAGGATTACAGCGAATATCCATTACACACAGAGCAGAGTTAGATTTCAAGCTTTCCAGCAGACGCCGAGCTCCCTCATTGGACAGACCGCATCTTTGAAGGTCAATAGCTGTTGTTAACAAGACAAGAAAATGAAAATTATACTCTGGATAAAACTAGTAAAGGAGATACGTTTTGTCTCAATGAACAATTTTTACTCACCTTTAACCCAGAGGTCTTCTGTCAATTCACGAGCAAGAGCAGCAGCACCGTGGTCACCAATCAAAGTGTTACAGTTCAGGGTGACGCGGCGGAGACCGCCCATCATCTCAAAGTGAGGCTGTCGGTACCTAAGAGATTCTGCCCAGGCAGCACTATGTCTGTGCATGGCTTGATGCTACAAAGCAAATCAAAAACCACAGTGTTATCAAGTGTGGCCAAAGATTTACATATGATTAGGTATTGTCAGGAGAATTCATTCATATTTTCACCTTGATGACATTGGCCACGTGCTCTGCTCCTCGCCATGTGATATTACAGCCTGTGAAATCTACAGTCCGGATGACTGGAGAATACTTCACACTTTGGCAAATCACTGAAATATAAAACAAACACAAACAGTTAAAAAGAACACCATGTACAAATACAGCGCAACATAAATAAAAATATAAAATAAAAACGAAAATTTGAATGAAGACGAATAATTGTACCCTCCAAACCCTGGTCAGAGATTGGACAGTTAGCCAGAGAAAGGTTCTCCAGTGAGACACTTTTTGCCAAGCCCTAAAAAAAGATGAGTGTTATTAATTATTTTTTCTATACTTTACTTTTCTTTTTAAAAAAAAGTGTCTAAAAAATTTGATTTCATTTTTAATAACTATGCACCTTTGTCAACAAAACAAGGTCCCTCTCTCTCAGTGGAAGTCCATTTATTTGTAGGGTCTTCAGGCTGGAGGACACAGTCAGACACTCCTTTATGGCCTTGCACAGCTTGAACGTCATGTCTTTGGAGCAAACCGCTGGTATTCTCTTCCTGAAGCCAGTCTTATAGTACCTTATATCTAAAAAAAATGAAAAGTTTTATGTAAAATAAAAATGAAAGAAAGAGTGAAGGTGAAGGTTTCCAGGAAAATGAGAAGGAAATTTATATTAATAAATAGACATTGTAATTTATCTATGTCCATGTTACATTTTTTTTGTTGTGTTGTGTGTTTATAACTACTATTTTTTGCATTCTACCTTCTAACTGCAAAGCCACAGGAGGGCAAAACTGAGATTCTTCCACTTCCTTAATACAGTCACAAAGACTAGACTTGTTGAATTTACTTTATCTTTATTTTGACTGACCTGAACTTCCAGAACCCAAAGCGCCATAATACGTGCTGCTTATTGAAATGTGATGAAGGTGTTTGTTGATGGATATTGAGGCGAGCACCGGCGGCCAGTCGGTGACCTTGAGTTTGTCTCCATTGAACTGCAGCATCCCTTTGTGCGCATTCATCTTAACAGCTGGAAGAGGCACAGAGTCCTGTCGAGCACAGGCAAATTCATAATAGGCCCTAAAGTCCTGGGCCCCCTGCCGACGAATCTGACTACTATCGGGGACCATCTTTGATCTGGGAGGAAAATTAAAGAAAAAAGTCAATAAAGGCAAATTCTTACAAGAAGAGATATAGAATTGAAATTATACGATTTCCTGTGATAGAGTCAACAACAGGTTTGGTGAAAAAGCTAGAGAAGCCAGATTGAGATGGTTTGGACATGTGCAGAGGAGGGACAGTGGATACATTGGTAGAAGAATGTTAGAGATGGAGCTACCAGGTAGGAGAAAGAGAGGAAGACCAAAGAGGAGATATATGGATGCAGTGAGGGAGGACATGCAGATAGTTGGAGTCAGAGTAGAAGATACAGAGAACAGGGAGAGATGGAAAACAATGATTCACTGTGGCAACCCCTGAAAAAAAAAGGGACAAAGCTGAAGGAAAAAAAAAAACAAAACAACCAACAACAACCATTTACTAGGGAATTTGTAAAACAATTCTCAAGACAATAAGTTTATTGTAAAAAATACTGAAACTGGGAAACATAGCACTGAATGCAAATAAAAAGCCAGTTTATAAATGGCTAGTTTTAATTTTACAAGTTATTGTAGAATTTACATAAATGGGAGATCTCAGCTCGTCAATTGTTTCATTCATTTGGGCGTTGGTTTGGATTATAAGACATTAATGTACCGTAAACGTGTTTACAGTGAAACAAGGTATAAATAAACAATGTATTACCTAAATTGAATTAATAGCAATTAATGTAAAAACAAACAAAAAACAAAAAAACAAACGACCATTCTGTAAGTGGCGTCATCAAGCTAAACGCTTGGCGACCGTTGACAGTGACAGAAAAGAACACTGTTAGCAGAATCTGCAGGATCAATGCCGAAAAACTTTACTATAAACATCTTAAGAAACTTGAATAAAAGATGTACCTGTTGTCCATAACTGAAGTATTTAACGTGTTACTGTCTACCCTGACAACAAAGTCGACTCCAACTGACTGTTGTTATCGACCAAACAAACGCTACTCAAATGTGGCGCTGGTGTTGCAGCAGAAGGCGATCATTGTCAACTTCCTTCCTTCACTACCGTACGTTTCACATAGAGATATGCTGCCCCCTTCTGGTGCGGTGGGTGTTCAAAGGAATATACCGCCATAAAGCAGAAGTCGAAAATTAATTTGACAACAAATACTGTACAGTATATCAGGTTCTATTACAAAATTAATTATTTTAAAAGCAAAGTCCATTATAAACATATTACATTAATCACTACAATACGATAACAAGTGAAAAAAGAGCTGTATATACTCCACATGTATGTATTATATGTAAAAAATAAAAAATAATTATTATATTATTATTGTTATTATTAGTAAAACAAGTTTTATTAGTATAAAATAAAATAAATCTAAAAGTGCACCTTTTCACATTAAGCATTGTTTAATTATTATATAATTTATGCATATGATTTTAAATCTAAGCACGTTCTTCTACTTATACTTCTGAGACTATACCAAGTCTCAGAACTATACAATGTAATAAGGCTTTGTATTTTTATTTTTTGCTGACAAACAGTTTCACCCTAACGGTATCTTAGTCTATTTTTTTAAAAAGAAAGAAAAAGAAAAAAAAGTACATAAAAACAGAAGGCAATACCGCTAAAAGATAAGGCAAATAATTGCCTTAATGATAATTTATTTTTTATTCATTGATTTTTACCGACACTTCCGTCGAATAATTTAAGTACTTGTATATGATATTAATTGATGAGAAAGTAAATCTAAAAATACCAACATGTGTTAATAAATTGTGGCGCTTTGGCCCAGAGGCAATGTCTCTGTCGTTGGTGTGGAACCCCAGGGTTCACCTCCTGGGCAAGATCAAATCCCGGGTAGGGAGGTTGGTACCTTCCAGTGGACTCACCACCCGCAGGAAGATTCGGGGGGAGAGGGGTTGGTACGGTGCAGTGTGATTTGGGTGGTGGTCATAGAAACTGCTGCCCCCGCGACATGGTAACGGATAAAAATGGATGGATGGTTGGATGTTGATAAATGAACGACGGTGATGAATAATGTTGAGATAAGAATACAGTCACTTTTACAATTTTGGCAACAACCACGCCCTTTTCCAGCTGAGTTAGATAGAAAGAAGAAGGCTCATTGGTTCATGCAGCTGCCGATCAAGCTCCTTGGTACACGGTTTTCCAGTAATCCCGAACCAGTGGGGCTTCACTGGGAACAGCCCCTAACACTGTGCTGAGTGGAGACAGGACTGCGAAAGAACATCCGAGCCACTGAAAAGGTTGGACATCTTTCCTTAAAGAATATTCTAAATACTTGGACATAGCTGACAACACCACAGAGGGGATTATTTCGTTTCACCACAGGTAATTTCTGGCGTTATTTGTGTTTTATAAACGACCCGTAGGCGAATGTCCGCTACCTTAGCTAACAGTGTGTAACCCAAACATCAGTGGCCTGTCAAAAAGTGCGGTGCTGGACAATAAGGGTATTTTAAAAATAACACATGTCCCGAACTATTTATTGAAGAATATTCTCCAATAATGCGACAGTGAAGACATTAATGCTTTTTATCTACAAGACTTTATATAGTCGTTGTCTGCCGCTGTTTACACCGAGTGGGCTGTAGTGGAATCACGTTGCCCCGTTGCTAATGTGCTAATGGCGCAAAGCGTCCCGTGATGGCGATGATGATGTTGATATTTTGAGGGGTCCTGTTGTTTTTCTAAGAAGAAAATTTTGAAATATCTACAATATTTTTAGTAAGACAGTATTTCTTAGATGACGTTCGTCACTGGGGTTTCAACGTGTTCCATTATAGTGATATTTTGTTCACAAACAAAATGCACCGCTATATACTGTTACGTTATCACGTATCACACCCTTGAGATGATACACAGTTTCATGTGAAAATACATTTCTTCAACGTGTAAGTCTTGGACATAACTGACATTTTT